GGTAGTGAAGGATTTGGTACTCAAAGCAAGAAAAAGAAAAAGCAATTTCGCCTGGATCTAATGATGAAAAAGAAAGTGAAAAAGATGCTTGGTTTACTTTCTATTTCATCAGTTGGATCAAAACATTGAAAATTACCTGCTTTATCACAGACTTGATTCCATCAAAAGGAGGCTACCAATCAAAGTTACAAGCATATGGACGCCAAGGGAAAGTCATTCAAGGATGAATACAATAATGATAAGGCTGATGGGACTAGTAGTGAGTCAGACGCTCCCGCGAACTCAAAGGGTAAAGCAGCTGCTGTTAAACCAAAGTACAAAGTAAGTTCTCATTAAAAATATCAAACTATAATCAATTAAAGAAAATGGTACTGTCTGGTTTTGCCAATCTTCAATACAGAAGAACCCTTTCGCAAGGCATCTAAAAGCTTCTCAGCGCCAATTTAACAACGATGAGGAGGAAACTCCTGAGATGAAATTTGTACGTAGCAAGAGGGGACCGGCTGACGGAGACACATCAACATCAACTGCCAAACAATCTCGCACCAGTGGACCTAAGCTTGTTGCACAATCAATCAATTGAGCTGTTGAGTGGGATGAACAAGGCAAAAATGATCAAATTGAAATAGCAAAGATGAAGCTTGAGCAACACCCAAAACAAAAAGAGGCAATGGACATCTTCAATTGTGGATGCAAGAAAGAACTCAAACCAGAACACATCATCACAGTAGACAACAAATTGAAGGATGATGACACAGCATCTTTCTTCTGTCACATGTCCAAGGAGTTTCAGTGGGATTGGTTGAGAAGTGAGGCCGAGGTATCTCAATTTCATCAGGACAAGCAAACCTGTTATATTTTCTTTCTATTTTACGTTTTTAATCTTACTTGTTATTGCAGATCATTTGTACAAGTCATATATAATATGATAGCTTAAATACGCGATAGTTTCAGTTTGCACAAGTGATATAATAAAACAATACAACTGCAATACAGAGACCATCTTAAATAGGAAAAATTGATGAAATGATATCTCAGATTCAAGTATTAAAAAAATTACAATAAATGATTCAAACATGTCGGCGAGCAGCAGTAGCATGTATGTAATCATAAAACCTATCCTCTGCAATATGATCACGCTGATCACTTGCTTGAGTGCGCTGTGCAGGAGTGGGTGCAACCCAGTCTGGGTTGTCATGATCGCGGGCCAACCTGGCTTCTAATCTTTCTTTTAAGGCGTACTCTTCATAGAAATTGTCCTTGCCATATTCAAATTGGATTATATTATGTAAGACGCAGCAAGCAATCACAATCCTTACTTGAGTTGTGTAACACTACACAAAATATAATATTTTCTGGGCAGAAAATTAAATTATTGATACACAAAAATATTGAGAGGCCAGGAGAAGGGCAAAAAATAAATAAATATATGCATCTTGTTCCCTGCGGTGAGAGCTTCACTCTCCATATTTTTCCATATTTTTACAGTCCGTATTGATAAGTGTACCAACAATAAACCTTCATAATCATCCAATTACAACCTGTAACAAGCACTGAAATTTGGCTCATTAGTGTCTAGAGAAACTTTTGATTTCTGAAAACACCTATAACTTTGTCAAATCTGCCTCAAAACACTCGATTTTAAGTGCATTAGAAAGCTGAACTCTTCCTCTCAAACTTTCATAGGATCAAGAACTATGTAGCTAGTATGACAATCATTCTATGGATCTGTATGTACAAATGTATAAAAAAGATTATATCTTTTTTAGCAGACCAGCATGCTGTGTGGTCCTATTATGAACTATTTGGAGGACAATTCCAGCTTACCAATGCACCCAAAATCGAGCGTTTTGGACCGGAATTGAAAAAGTTATGAGTATTTTCAGAAATCAAAAGTTTCTCTAAACACTAATGAGCCAAATCTCAGTGCTTGTTACAGGTTGTAATTGGATGATTATGAAGGTTTATTGTTAGTACACTTATCAATACGGACTGTAAAAATATGGAAAAATATGGAGAGTGAAGCTCTCACCGCAGGGAACAAGATGCATATTTTTATTTATTTTTTGCCCTTCTCCTGGCCTCTCAATATTTTTGTGTATCAATAATTTAATTTTCTGCCCAGAAAATATTATCTTTCTTGTAGTGTCACTTTGAAGTCGTTGCGTTTCCCTAAATGGACAGGTGTCCGTGTTGCAAACAAACCAGACAGAAATGAGGACTTATGTTTATTGTTTTGTTTAGCCGTTGGTGAAATGTAGTCATTGTCCCATTGTTGTGATCCAAATGGCAACACGATTGGGTAACGCAGTGGCAGGTAGGCGGTACTCAAGTCCGTGATGTGTTTCAATTTGTTGTTTTTCCGATGAAGTATAATGTGCCGAGGCTTGTTGTCAAGAGTCTCCAAACCTTCAACCAAAGCGGCAACATCTTGAGGACGCGGTTTGTTGTAAGTTTTGATCTCTCTCTTCCTGGGGAGTAGAGTTTTTAGCATGATGGTGAGGGTCGGTTACGCTTCTAGGATTGTGGCGGAGGACTTCAAGAAATCCACGTATGGACTGACATTGTTTAAGACCCTCTGTAACTGCAGCATAACCCCTTTTGAAAGCTGCTTCTTCTTAACATGACCGAACCAAATGTTGGCTTTGGCTTTGCCACCGTCACCGACAACGTAGATTTGTGCATATGAGGGTGTCTTATTCGCCAGTGGCAGAGCTGATCCAATTTGGTGAGCCAGCTGTCCTGACAATTGGAAGGTGTGGATCCCCTTTTGGCCGGCAACTGATTGATTGACTTTGACACCTAATGAAGTGAAAGACAGGGTGTTGTTGTAGTGCGTGATTTCTCTAGCATCTATGAAGGTTGTCAGATCAAACTTGTCTCATGTATCATCAAAACCTTACCTTTATTGCTTCCGGTGTACAACTGCATCAAAGAGGCAGGTAACATTGGGCCATCAAACTCCCCCCAAGGCAATGTCACGGAATCTTGTTGACAACAGTTAGAGTAAATCTCTAGGCCATCTTTTATGTTTTGTTTGGTTTGCTCGCCGCCCCACCTCAAGGCACCACAGTATTGACACTCATGTGTTTGAAGCCCCAGATGATATGGCAAACCGAGAAAGTTTTGTAGAATATTCTCCTCATTGTTCTCTGCCGCCAATTGACACACCACTTTTGTTTTCAAGGGCATCACAACAGGTTCAGCAAAAACGACCGGCCACAAATGCCAACAGTAAGTTCCGCTACGGCGAGAGCTGGTTGCTGACCGCAACCGATAGACAACTTATCATTAGTTTATTCGTATGATTTGGGTGGCAAGATGATGAGTCTTTCTCAATACCATTAACTTACAGTGATCAGTCTGTCCAAAAAGGTGTCTGGTTTGATTTCTTTGTTACCGAACTGATGCATCAATATCAACGCTGGGTCCAATCAAACAGGCCAACACGGAAATCATTTCTTAATTCCCAGGTGACTCACATTTTCAAATACCTGCGCCCAGGATGAGGTTGAAGGACTGTCTTAACGCAACAGGATAATTGTTGTACCGGATAGCTTGAGACAAATGTTTGGTGCTCCAATGTAAGATAACTGTGTTCCAACAGCACTCTTGACCAAGGCTACTCTTCAAAGTGCGCTGAGGTCCTGGTGCTGTTAATAACGTTTGGTTGATTGTGATGATAATGATTAATTATTATGGTGGAAAGGTGCATTAGAGGTTTTTGACAGAAGAAGTCAGGATATGAATTGGAGCTCCTCTATATACGCCGCGCCGCCAAATGTCAGAGGCTCCTCGGGATATGGCAGCCTTAATCAATGGAAATTCCAAGGTGAAATGCACTTCTAGGTTGAATCAGCAACAGCCAAAGTGATCAGGTGCTAGTCAAGCTTTTGCTTTTGAAAAGCCCCCTGAGATGCCTTTCTGGTTGCACCTACCCTGGCCACAGCTCTACAACTACTTCTGCATTAGTTTACGCCAGAGGCTCTCATTACACTTTGTGTACAGGATGATACATCTCTAAGCACAGACACCTGGGTTAGGGTTAGGGTTAGGGTTAGAGGCGCGGATCTAGGCCCCATTAATCAGCTCAAGAATGCACCTCAAGTGGTGGGAACCTCACCTCAAGTGTTGGGAACCTCACCTCAAGGTTGTAGTCGGTATGCCTGCCAATGACATTCATGTTATCTTTACCGGGCAAAACGGTTTTGACATCTCGAGAGATAATAATCCCAAGCCCATGGGTGCTGATGGAATTAGCAAGGTCACCTTTGAGTTCTCTTGAGGTTGTCGCAAGGATTTGGTTCTTTGGTTTGTAATAAAATTCCTGTTCACCAGGCTGGTTCAAAGCAATCAATCACCCTTTGAGAAAATAAACCCCATCAACTTCCAAGACAATCTCCAGGCCCCCACAGGCCGATCCCCTAATTACCCACTCCATGGCATCATCAGCATTGGGCTCGCGGGTGACAATAGTCATGTGTGAATGACGGAAACCCCAAGTACCCTGCACGTCAGACTCAAGCTGGACAGGTCCGGTAAGAATCATGGCAACAATGTGGAGGTTCAGTTATAGGAGACTAGCCTGAGCAAAAACATTGAAAAGGGAAGCTATATAAAACGGGTGATTCTTCTTTTTGCTGCTAGTGGCTGACTAATTTGGTGCAGCCGGCAATGATTTTGAGGTGCTGGTCGCGTTTTTGAGCATAGTCTAAAGCAATTCTTTGAGAAAATACAACAGAAGGTGATGATCAAAGGATAATATGAGCGAGTAAGATCAGTTATTTGTTCAAATGAGGTTGGATTGACTTTTTGTACAGAATGGAGAAAGGTGCAGACAACTGAAGGCAGTGAAAGCAAACCAATCAAGAGAGTTGTGTTTAAATGGAGCATCGTATTTGAATTTTGAAAAGCTTGGTTTTGTGGAACATTGTTATTGTGGAGTATCCGCGTGGAGCCTCAAATGTCCGTGGAATGACCTGAATAGGGGATGTGGTTCAAAAGCAAATGTGTTCTTTTCAAAAGCGCCTTGTGGTCCGGAAATGTGCATAACGCCAAAAGCAATGCACTTTGCAAAAATGAAAAAGCTTAGCAGCAAATGCTCCATAATGCAAAGCAGACAGTGCGCTCATACACGACATATGCCTAACGTATTGTTGTTAGACTTCCCAATTTTTTCAAAAGCAGACGGTTCAACCACTGGAACAAAAGGTATAGAACGTTTGAAAACCAAACCCAGGATATGATGCCTGATGGGTAAGCACTCCTCACCCAATTGGCCCGAGTATCACATAATTGCTTTTGATGCGGCTTGATTAATCAATAGATTAGAGAAATAGCCTATACATTAGTATATTTATGTGACAAACAGAGGGGTGATGTGTTTGAAAGAATCCCGCAGCCGGCCAATACATGTCATAAATGCGAGTATTGCACCGCCTGATACCACGACCCCCGGTCTTTAAGAATCAGTTAGATTCCACCAACCAAAGTGGTGTTCATCAATATTGTAACACCAGGGTTATTGGGTATTTTAACACTGTGGCTGAGTTGAGCAAAGAAGCGGGTCATGTGTGCTTTTATTGTTGCCGGACATGTTAAGCATAGATTCGAAGCAGGAGTTACTCGTACATCCTGGAATACGTCGGAACTCAATGATACACTTGACACATTGTAAGACAACTTCCACATCGGAAGGGAAAAAAACAGTGAAATATTAAGCCAGGGAGGCCTACTTGACTGAACTCTGACGTGATATGCTGAAGGATAATTGGAGGATATGTATCTGACGGCAAGGGCAAACCAGAAGATCCATTCCCTTCTACGTTCATAAGGAGGCTTTCTCAATTAGGCCTTACTTGACAATAATCTTCATTACTGTCTTAAATTGCCAGTAAGTCAATCACACATAAGTATACATATCATGTCTCCTCATGTACACACGAAGGACGTGTGTGTGGGGTAAGGGACACAGCCCCCCAGAAGGTCTCCTCAAATACTGGCTTCAAAACGCCAGAAGTCAAAGAGACCCCCAAGGGCGTTGTCTTGACACAAGAGGACAAGAGCCCTGGGACCAAAAACAGGAGGGGTTAGCGTAAACCCACTGCTCAGATTTTATTTGAAGCCCGAGCTCGCGCAAAACCCATCCTGCGAAAAAAAGCTTACGTCCTCTTAGCCTTATCCTTGTCGCGCTCAGCCATTCAGGTATTTAACCAACGCCAATGTCTTTGCCATTTCCCCAGCCAAATATTTGCAAAGGTACAGCTTGTAGCATTCGGAAGTCCAACGACCCAAGCGCTTGATGTTGTCGTGCGGAACCCCTAAAGCTGCTCGGGAAGACGCACCACCAACTCTAAACAAGTGACCGGATAGTCCTAGCCATCCATATTCCACCCACACCCGTACACACTTGTTTACGAGATAAGATCTGGTTAAGTTTACTCTAACACCTCCATTATAATAACCAAACAAAGAATTGTCTGGTGACCGCATGGTCATCAAGCGCCTCCTGACCGCCAAGACCGTACAAAGGACATTTGGTTGTGCATTAAGAAGTACCACTTGAGCCACCCCTGCTTTTGCCGTCTTTGCACCTCGCACTGCTAATGACACACTGCTTGATGCAGGCAACCATTGCAAAACATCCCCGCATAGAACAGAGTTTAGCCACGCCGGTTGGCCAGTGGGTGCGTTGTACGTGATCTCCGCTAGCCGCATCATTCCCCAAAATGCCACAATCACACAATCTAGGGATGCCTGCTTGTTGATCAAACCTTGCACCCACGCGTGGTATAAGAGCACTAGATTTTCCAAAGTCACCGCCAGTTTTGGAGGTCTTGCTGGAACTAAGGCATCCTGTCTCCCACATGCCCGTAGGAGGATCTTGACTCGCTCGTCCAATACGTGTGGGTACGGTTTATTGTGGTAGTTGTGCCAAGCCTGAACTCCATACAAGTATTTCCAAAGGCTCTTCGCATCAATATCCTGTTTCTTCGGACCCTCCTTGTTTCTTCCAGCCCAGAAGCAGAACTCGTAGATATCCAACGGGCTCGCCGGTAGAGTCCACACTCCCTTTCCTTCAGCTATCAAGAACACCTTAAACTTCTTCACTGCCGCGTTGTAACTTAACAAAGTGCTTTGTTTCCACCCCCTCAATAAATGCAGTTGTAGACCCAAAGGTGTCGCATCATCAGTCCCCGTCGACAGAAAGGCCAGTAACCAATGCAAAGGAAGCGGCTCCGTCATTGCTACTAGACAAAAACAAATATCATTAGTATGTCAAGTTTTGAAACCCCAACAAGCACGCCGTACCTACGTCGTGTAGACCAGTAATTCTATAAGCACTGTCTGAAACAAAAGAGTGATAGGCCCGTCAACGAGAGGAATGGAAGGCCTTCCTAATTGTTGGAGAAAATAGGATGAGTTTGTTCCAATTGCGTTTTACGACAAGTAAGACCTATCATTCCAAACAGACGATTGCCTGAGATAACTGTCTTACTCAACCGTCATCGTGAACCATTACATTTGGTCTCACGTAACCACCCTGCGCTCTGCATAACGCGCGCTGTTGCTCAATTTCCCCGGTCATCATTTATTCATTTCAATTGGAAGGCTTGTCACCGTGGCCAATGACCAGAAAATTAAAAAGAAATCAAGTTCAGAAACAAAACAAATCCTGTCACACATCAGGGGTGACCTCAGAAGCGACGAAAAGCTTTGCGAGATCATCTGGCAAGCGTAGAGGAATACAATGTTTTTCCAAACAGCTCCCCTTAATTCCACGCGACAACTTATCAGCATCATTGTCATCCAAAGTTACCCTTTTGGCATGTATCTCAATTTGATAGTGAGTCAGCAAACTCTGAATGATCTTCCATTCTTCGTTAACTGCACAATTCTTGGACTTTCTATTCGTAACGGCTGCCTGTGCCGTCGTATTATCCGTCCATACAACCAAATGTCTTCCTTTTCTACCTTTCAACTTGATAACCATGAGTATTCCAATTCTAATTGCCACAGTCTCAAGGTAGTTGATGTGCTTTTGTTCGTTATTTGCTAGTTTCCAGGCTTTGGATGTTTTCAATTGAGTCCAATGCCCTCCTACTAGTACGCCAATCCCGTAAGAAGTCGAAGCATCCACTACCCAGGAGATCTCTATTGGCTCTGGACTTGCAATCAATCGCAGGTGCTTGAAAGAGACCAAAGTCTGTCTCCAAAACAATAAATCTTCTCTTACATCATCCTTTATTTTTCTTGTAGCCATCTTATTTTTCCAGTCTTTCTTCATACAATACAAACAACATACATAGCATTTAAGTTGTGGTGGCAGATAAGACATGTGTGTAAGTCTTCCCACAAAGATGTCGATTTGATAACACAAGAACACGCTCCCATTCAAAACCTCATCAATCTGCTCCCTCCTCTCAGCCAATTTCACCTCAGGTAGCCAAACTGTCTTGTTCATTCCATTCCATATGAACCTGATGAATTTTTGTTCATGTTGAAACTTTGACAGCTTTTCCTCATTTGTATGGACTCCTAAAGCCTTAGACCTTTTAACAATATCCTTCATGTCCGTCATGGGGTTGTATTGTTTGACAAATAAATTGACATCTACCCAACAAAAGACAGTTACGAGATCATGTTCATGCTGCATTATCTTTTTCCATGCGTCCGCCGGCCTCCCAAAAGAACCACACCCTACGACCCCTCCAAACGTAATCCTGGTGTCCAGATACAATCTCCCTTCACTCATCAAAGTTGGGATCTGCCTATAGGCCTTTTCCCAATTGAAAAGGCCTAGCAACCACAAATTGTTTGAAGATTGAAAGAAGATTGCCACTGTTGCAAAATCATCCCACGTTGTTTTGAGGGCATGCTTATCAACGAACGAATTAACCAAAGGTGTATCCGGTAGGTGTCTTGGGTATGACAGATCATTGATTGCCCTCACGCTTCCATCGCCGTTCACCACCGCTCCCAACGGGTTTGACCTGAAGAATGGAAATACCTTTGAGACTTCTTCATGTGAGTACGGACCGTACATCCTATTCTTCCAGATTTTGTTTTGAATGTTTTTCCTAATCTTATCTGCCACCAGTATCGATGAAGAGTGATTTTCCGGCGTAAAATAAGGCTTTCCTTCAAGTACGTGTACAGGTATGCCTTGGTCAAAACCTCCTTCAAATCCCTCTAAAACCTCTTTAAACTCTTCCAACAATCCCGCTTTCCTTAGAGCTTCTTTCCACACTGGAATGTTCATCTCACAAACTATCTTTCTCGGCCAGTTCGACGGCAAATTTGACAAATCCTCTTCAAATCCCAATCCAGTGTTCCTCATAATTCGATAATTATGCTCTTCAATTGGCTTTTGTTTCAAGGACAGACTGTTATTTTCAGACTCTAAATATTGTCTCCTTTCACTGTTATCTCGCAAAATCTTTAGTTGTGCAAAACTATATATTATTTCAGGAGAATCGAGATAACATAACGCCAACAATTCAAATAGGGTTACAAAACAATAGAATACACTTTAGCTATTCATACAATAATGAAATAGGTTACCGTCTAGCGTAAACTTGTACAAGAAATAGGACTTATGCAGACATAGAAAGAAATGTAGACTAGTCTCCACTTACAATGAGGGGTTCTCTGTCTTCACCACTGTTGCTGCTGCTGCTGCCGCTTTCCTCTCAGCAAAAGCGGGGTCAAAGTGTTTGGGAGGGCCTCTGTATCCAGATCTCCCTCCCTTACCACCCCCTCGATTAAAGTGTCCTCCTTGTCCTGAGCTAGTGCTTGCAAAGGTGTTGTTGAAGCTGTTCATGGAAGTCTTGAAACTAGATTGATGAGGATGTTTAGTAACTTGATGCTTTGGCTTGCCATTCTTAGGATTCCAGCCTTCTCTTTCACCTCCTTTTGAGTAGGGATTATTCATCTTGAAACCTAACTCATTCAACCTCCTACAATCACTATAGCATTGCACTTCTACGTCTTTCCTATGCTTCCTAATGTCCGGCGCACCTTCCTTTTCACCATTTGAACATTTCATTCTGAACACGCTGTCTCTTATCTTGACATCGTACCTCAAAGCTACCATCCACCCGGAAGCCTCATGAATCTTCCCCACATTCTCCTTGTGGATCGCTCCAATCGCAGCACATCTATGGTTTCTTTCATCGGTATGTGAACAGTTTCTAAATTATCACAAGGTTTGCTTACCTGTGCCAACCATGTGGGTTTGCGAACGTCTTCAGAAAGTTCCTGTAGTTGATACACCAAGTTCCGTGGTCCAGGGTTAAGTCGTCAGGATAAGGATAACCTGTATGGTTATTGTGCTTCACGTCATCCGTTTTCACCTTCTTCTCAGTGTGATAGCTATCTGCTAAAGCTTGCCAGTTTAAATCTAAGATCGACAAAGGGATTGGTCCCTTGAATTCCTCAATATTCTTGTCGAAATAAGGAGTCAGAAGGGATGTCGTCATACTCGGCACATGACCTAAACAGTCACCACAATCAGTTTTGTAGAAGATCATCTTTTACACATTGCTCTACTAACCTGGCATGAAGGTAATACCATTTTCAACAAATGCTGTTCTTCATCAACCTCTATAGCATCTACATTTCCAGATACTTCATCTTCAACATCTATGACTTCGATGACCTTCTTGATTATCTTGTCTGTAGTCGATTTCTTCACAGACATCGGAATGATCATTCTTTCATGCATTCTAAACAAGAACAAAGCTTCTTCTGTGTTTCCTTCTGTAGCAGCCTTCATGGCTTTGGTCAATGTCACCTGCTTATCCTCTATCAATAATCTCCTATCCTCTTCAGGATCCTGAATAGCTAGATCGTCTTTCAAGTTTGGAGCTTTACTTCCCAGTATTTCTAAGTAACTGTCTGATACTGGGCCGACAGAACCACCACCTGTAGTCTCTTTCCCTACAGCTACAAACGTGATATCACAAAGAAGTGAAAGTCTACATCAGAAAAGAAACTAGTCGTTCTATTTCTTTAATCAATTGATGAAAAAGGCTTACTTAGGTCTTTAGCTTTCGCTGGATCTGAGCCTTCATTTGTAATGTCTTTAGCATTTGCTGGATTGTTAACCAAATCGCATTTGTTGTCTTTAGCGTTGGCTGGACATGCACTTGGATTGATGTCTTTAGCGTTCGCTGGACAGTCTATGTTGTTGCAAGGATGAGATGGAGTGTCTTTAGCGTTGGCTGGATCACTAGCACTAGTTCACATGTTAACTACTGCCCCGTTCTCTGAATTCGTCGAGTCGTTAGTTCTCTGCTGCATTCGAGTCGTCATCATTGTCGGTATTCTTGAATCAGTAGTAAAGCAAAAAATGGGGAAAAAAAGGGGGGGATTTGAATGAATGTAATAAACTTTGTAAAGTATCCTAAATTAACACTGAGCAATTGATGAAGTGCGACTGTGAGTCTTGAAATCAAAAAGGAGAGAGAAAGCCTGAAAGAAGGGAGAAGGCTTCGAGAAACACTAGAAGCTGAAAAGAGAAAAACACGGCGGAGAGAGAAGGGAAAAATAGCGACGGAGAGAGGAAGAGAAGGAGCGCGAGACCATCCCCCTTTCCTTAATAGGAAAGGTCACATCTGAGGATTGGCTCGCAGGACGCGCCTTCAGGTCCTTTCCTCCTCTGCCGTTACGCTAGTCCTGGTCCGTGCTCCTCAGCAAGCCGGGCTTCTCCGAGTGCATGGACCTATGCAACCTACCTCGTGCCTTGTACGGGTACTACCTAGGAACATCACACTGAGAACAACTTGGCCTGCAGATAGCTAAGTTTAGGCAACATGTACAATACGAAAATGTATTAGGTACATTTCTTGTGCTGCACCAAAGGGCTCAAGTTCATGGATAGGTATTGGGTACGCAGCCGTCTCGTGGGAAGTGTGACGGGCAACGGATATAATGACTGGAACACAACACCAATCTTAGTTCAATTACAAATAATAAGTTACAATAGGATAATCTAACATCGACAGAAAGGGCGATCAAGTGGTCTGATGTTGCACAGAAAGAAGGGATGAGATGGCATAAAGTGGTGGTTTGTTGAACACAACACGCAACAACTCATGTTGTAATCCCAAGCAGTTGAGAAGAACTGATAGGCAAAGGTTCCGAAGCGGTATGCAGGTCACCAATTATGTAGTACAGGGAGGAAATAGAATTGGCCTGAAATATACGACACAGATTAGAGCACAAATATTGGTATTGTCAAATTTCAGCATGCGATTGTCGGCAAAAAGAAACTTGATGATTGATACCAGTTGTGAGAAAAGTATGCCGTAACTGTAAAAGTAAACAAAGCAACGGGCAATGAATGTTGTGGTGACAAAGTGTTGAGTCAACCATTTGGCTTCACTCATTGGTCAACTTACCCAAAGCCACCAAAGAAGCAAGGTCGGTGATCTTTGATGAAGTGGGATGTTCCATAATCATAAAAGACACAACTCTGTTAGAGTAGAGCTTGAAAACCCATCAATAACAAAGGCTGGATCTCGATTGCACAAAAGTTCCCGTTTGGTTGACGGACCGATTGCGTGATTGATGGTCTAAGTATGTATAAAAGAGGAGAAGGTTAGCTCATTTACATACATTAAAAGATAGGTAATGACTCACCTTTCATTATCTTAGTCTCGGTCTCGAATAGGAACTCGGTGCAAAGAGGATGATCCCAAGTGGCAGCTACGTGCAACTTAAGCCAACTTGTAACAGGAAAGAGGGAATTATATGCGGCGCGGTGCACTTGCATGGTATCAAAAAATAGGAGGCTATGTAGCGGAGATTGTGTAAAGTTGAATTTAGAGCTTTGCCGAATAGTGAGGAGGGGGAGTGATTGTAGGTGTGTAGGTCAAAGACACATCAATAGTAACCTGCTTAAATATTCAAAGAGGGGTTGGTGAGAGGAAAGATGTCAGGGCAAGCTTCCACAGAGAAGGCAGGTGAGAACCACCGCAGACAAAGAATAAAGAGCTGGAAGAGGCATTGTCAAAAAAACCGGACAATGGCGATTAAAAAAATTGTAATGTGGAGAGAACAACATGTGGTGTTGGTTTTAGCTAATATACATAACGACAAAAGCAAAGGGTATTGGGCGAGCTTTTAGTGTGGTCTGGTGGGCTGACGACTTGGAATATTGCTGTTGTGCTGAAGGCATAATTTCTGCATGAGAATAGTAAGGAGGGCAATGCAGCAAGCTTTTCAAAATCTTAATAAGGAAGGGTTGAGAGAGTTTTCAGAACGGGTGGCCAATGAAGACTAATGGAAAAGTGAGATTCTGGTGGCGGTGACGTGATACAATGAAAAGCAGTTTATGAAAGCATTTGGCGAGTACAGAGAAGAGACTCTTATAGAGTGGACATATGACTGTGGGATTGGTTTTGTTCGGTGTACGCATAAGTTGATGTCTTGCTTTTGTGCTGAAAAGCATAACTGCTACATTTAAAGACTGGAGAGAGCAAGGCAGAAGGACTAAGAGAGTTTTGGTACGAAAGCATACAGGTAGCTATCAGAAACCGTTGGTTAGCGAAGACCAATGAAAAGGGTATGCTTATGATTGAGATGGTGTGATAGGCTTAAATGCAGAACATGACAACATTTGAGAAAAGCCAACGTAAAGTGATGGTGGTGCAAAAGTTTGCGGGAGAGGGATATGAGAATGGTTGCGGCGGTGGTCAGGTGTAGGAAAAGGTATAAAAGGTGGGTGGTTCAAACATATGAAAGCAACATCGTTCAATGCTTCCCACGTCGACACCTATGTGAGCCTCAAGTGAGAAGCGGCGAGATCCCAATGTTTCATCCCCCAGAACACTGAATTGCTGCCAAATTGCTGCAGGATTCAGACTTAGGGGGGGTGAATCCGGATTTAAGAATATTAATGGTGCTCTAATATGCGAAAATGAAATTATAGTGTTGACTGTGGGGTGAGGCAATGGTTAAAGACATTGTTTATGTAAGTGAAGGAATTAAAAAGGTATCACAGTCATTGTAAAGAAAATTTGATGAGCTCCATATATGTGATCAAGATTATTTCATCGAAGATAGTGATTTGACCATAAGCTCAGTGAAACCACAATATGGTCCATAACATGGTGGACATTGGGTACTGAAGGTTTTGTTGTTGATCAGACTTGCTAGCAATCTACTTAGAATAAGTGTGGAAATTGATAAGTCTTTCTGCACAAAAACGTCCTTTGACTGAATGTTGTAAAGATGTTGTACTTGACTTCAAAACAACAAATATGCACATTTCTGAGCCAAAAATTTAGCCAAATTTCATAGTCATTTTTGCTCAAACTTCATTAATAAACCCCCCCTAAAAACATCTAGGAAACAGCTGGAACACTCCCAGGCACCAAAAGACAAAAATTGTCCAAGATATAGGCATGTAAGAATGTGTGCTAAAAATTGAATTGCCCAAAGGTGCTCCAGGATGGCATTTTTTCTCAGAAATTTTATATTATATGTAAATCAAAGTTCAATTTCCAACACTTTTCATTATTGAAGTCTTGAGTTTGGATGAAGATTAAGTGAGACATGGCATTTCATGATTTTTGGATTGTGCCAAAACTTTATAAATTGGACTATGTGCCAACCATGGCTCACACTGCAAATATAATGTGTTTCTCCACGGTGAAAAATGATTACATTTAATTCAAAAAATGATTAAAAGTGCATTAAATCTACATTAAATCTGCATTTTTCTGCATTAAATCTGCATTATTAATCATTTTGTGCATTAAGTGCAATCATTTTTCACTTCGGAGAAGCACATTATATTTGCAGTGTCATTTGTTAGGAGATCCATATTAACAGAATTCAGGTGAACTTGCATTTCACACATTTCTTATCATTTACCCTTCAAGTTTGGATCAAAATTGAGTGAGATAGGTTCATCCTTGTACTTTCCAAACCTTGCCCAAACTTCTCTCATCCCACTATCTGATCTCTAAGACTCGTTTTTTTTATACATTCATCATAATAAACTTAAGTTGAAACGGAAATTCCCACATTTTTCCTTATTGAACCTTTGAGTTTGGGACACAAATGAGTGTGATGTGGGCAAATTGTGTCTCCTGATTCAGGCTGAGCCCCAAAAATGATGCCCCTTGTGGTCCCTGATCAGCTTCTACCCATTTGGTTTGGTTTTGGGGTGACCTTTTAGGTCCTCGGGAATGTGTGAAACCTTTGATCATTCTGATTTCTTTCAAACTGTATCTCTTTGCTTCCCTTACAATCTTTATTTCACTTTACGTGGTGCAGGACTGACAGGTTCCAACTGCTCAAGATCCACAATTTTCACAATTTTCTTAAGCAAGGATGGGAATTGACAGGTTCAAACCCCTTCCTTCCTTGCTTCTTCTTGCTTTTTAATGTTTTTGACTTTCTTTCACCACACAAAATGTAATCTTTACTGGGCAGTAAAGAAAACTACTGACATAGAAAAATCCTGAGGCAACAGGAAGAGAGCTAAAAATCTGAAAAAATATGCACCTCGTTCCTAGATATTAGGGCGTCATGATGAGTATTATTTTGTATTTTACACACAGATATTGGTTAATTTACTAACAATAAAGGCTGAAAATCCTCAACAACCCACCTGTAACAATACCTGGAATTTGGGTCATGATTATGAAGACAATATTTTGTGGTCTAAAAACTTCAATAACTTTTGCAGTTCTGCTCCAAATAACTCAATTCTTGGTTCATTAAAAAGCTGAACCATTCTCCTTTACACTTCATGAAGGTAGTAAGGTGTTATCTAGTCATGTAAATGCTCTACATATGTTCAAACAGTTCTGAATAGATAGCTCTGTAGAATCTTTTGCAGACCGGCTACAGAGGTGATGTCTCAATGATAAATCACTACCCAAAAGATAATTTTTACCATGTGGTTTAGAAAAGTGGGCAGTTACATAACCCATATGATAGGTATTTGCTACGTGACAGGAGCAAATGTGATGAAGACAACTAGATACTTGTCAAATTGAAGAATCAGTCATGTCATTGATTTCGTACACAATTCCTCAATGCTAGATGTCATTTTTACATCAATGATATCAAATCCAATTGTTTTTTTTCAAATTTCAATTAGTATATCTCTCATATCTTGTAGTCATTTGTAAGGTAGCCTGATGAGTATATAAATACCCCGTTGTAGACCATCACCTCTCAAGATAAGTGAACAATCCATTGAGGTTGATGCTGAGTTATCTCAGAGACACAAAGGAAAGTGTTGTACGTATCTGTAGTTGATAAAGATTACATATCTGTAGTTGATCAGATATCATCAAATTACTTATATGATGTGTATGTAGGTATGTGAATTTCTCCATCTTTCTTCTTTCCTCACAGCTAACCCTTCATCATTGTTAATCATCTCAGATCAAAGTCAACCTTTCACTATAGGATGAACTTGTCAACGAGGATACTCAAAAATCTAGTTACCCAATACCAATGACACATCATTGGATCATTGTCAACGTGGGCCGTTGCAAAATCCGTCATGTACCACAATGACTTGCATTGTATCACATTGCATTATAATTCAATATTATGATGGTAGTCAGGTTATCTGACAAAGATTAATGTATGTCATGTTCTAGCCTTTTGTTTGTCCTCATTTATCTAAATTGATTATAATCTCCAATCAATGAGCATCCATTTGGTGAGGACAAGTTTCTAGACTTGCTAATATGTTGGGTTTGAGATATGTAACCTAACATATACCATTCTAGCTTACTCACATTGTATATCATACTTTGGGAGTATGCTGAATTGGCATGGCGGCCGCAGGCCGGCCTGGTTTTGCGTGGGGTGGAAAATCATTTCTTTCTCACGCAAAGACCGGGACCGTTTGTCAACCCGGTGCTGTTTGGGGGCTCACAGGGGGACTTGGCAACTCCCACCCTGACGGGTCCTCAGCGGGGCTCGGCCTGCCGAGGATTCCTAAAGCTTGCAGGGGCACGGCTCTCAATTTCTCCTCTTTGCTGTTGTCGTGGTTGTTCAAACTAAACCGTGACTCACTCTTGGGGTCTTGTGTAAATTTCCGAATATAAATTAGATTACCCTTCCTGTACATTGATCTTCGTGTTTAATACCCTTGTGGTCCAATTTAATAGCTGGGTGTTCAATTTAATACAGTTGAGTTTGGGCGTCTTGTCTCAAACTTTAAATATTTCTTGTATTCCTTCTTCTTTTGGCAATGTCGATCATGTTCCTCCTATGGATCTTTGTTTCTCTCTCTATTTCTTTGGTCGATAGCCCATAGAAGGTTCTTGGCTTCGGTGAGTTCCTCATCACTATAGTCTCTTAGGTACACGTCTACTTCATAATTCTCTCTTTAGTCCAGCCTAGGTTCCATTTTGGTGAAGCACCACCTATTCGGAATGAGTGTCCTGTCCAGTCGCCGACTTTCACGCTGGCTTTTCCCCAAAGACTCTCTAATCCTTCGATGAACACCTTCTGAGACAATGGCTTCCGAGACTTTCCTGTTCCATATCCGAACAGTACCTCGTCGTTTCCAAGATCTTTGTTTCTGTCTAGTACACGCTCCAGGGCCGCTACCGGGTCTAGTATAGATCTGTGTGAAGGGATTCTAATGAACTGGGGTTCTCCTGGTTTTTCAGTCTTCGCTCTCCACAAGGTGAGTATTGCAACTCTCTTCTCTCCCTCCCCTTTGAAAGATAAGTCGCCTTTGGTTAACATTGCTTCTTTCCTCTTTGTCCTGGTCAATTTGCCTACTCTCATCACGCCCCAAAAGGCTACTAGGGCGGTAGTTGCAATCACCTCCTCTAGTTCGGATCTTCCGCCAAGTTTGCAGACTAGACCTATGAGCTCGCGAACCTGAATCAGGTTTTTCTCGTTTGAAATCTCTTGGTCTTCCTCGTTTCCACCTAGACGTTTTCTCACCTCGGCACGCTCCGTGGCTCGGATCAATGCTTTGATCATTTTCTGGTCTAGACTTGGGGGTTCTAGCTTGGTTGCCATCTGCCATGCGGTCAGTCCGGCGAGGTACTTTTCGATCGTTTTTGCTTTGACCGTTCTTTTGGCCGATGATTCCTTCTTTATATTCGACTCACCGGCCCATACGATGAATCCGTAGATGTCGTTCGCTTGTACGGGTATGGCCGACTTCCATTCTCTTCCATCCTCCTCAATGTACTCTTTGAACTTTGCTACCGCACTCCAGTAGCCCTGCATTGTTGTATCAGCCCAAGATCCGCGGACCATGTGCCTTGCAATCTGTCTAGTCTTATTGTCGGCGATTTCATCTTCAATTGTTGCGAAACTGGGCCTCCCTTTCATTGTGTAGGATCTATTTTGGAAAGACCAGGATTAGAAGAGTGGTTTGTATTGGGATTTGTGTGAAAAGGGGGATAGAGTGGTACGGTAGAGGCCTCTAGGTAATTTTCAAGGTCTTCAGGTATTTCAACTTGTAGTCGGTCTGCGTCGTAGTTATTGATTCTGTTCCCTCTGGACAGGTTGTCCGTGTCGTTGTTTACGGAAGTTACTCTCTTCTCCTCTAGGTCGCAGTCCAATATTGCCAGTCTTCGTTGTATCAATCTCCACTCATTGTTCACCGCGACATGTCTCGACTTGAGGTTTTGTACTACTTCTTTGGTGGTAGTGTTATCCGTCAGGAACAGGAGCCTCTTTCCTTTTACACTGGTCATTTGAACTAACATCTCTAGACCCAGCCTTACCGCAATTGTTTCGGCCCAGGCGATATCTTGCTTTACTCCGAGTGAGTCTGTCTGATCCCACCCGCTCTTTAGCTTCCATTGGGCCCAGCAGTTACCAATCATGATGCGGATTCTGTGGTTTGTTGCTGCGTCTCCTACCCAGCCCATGTCGATGGATTCCATTTTTGGTAGCAGTTTTAGGTTGGTGAAGTCGTGTAGCACCCTCTTCCATTCCCACAAATCGTCTAGCACCTCTCTCGGCATGTTCCTTGGAGCCCGTTTCTCTTTCCACCTCGCCATCCAGTGGTCTATGTTTGTGCAAAAACATCGCATTTGGGTTAATATACTTGTGAGGTGAGAGAGTCTTCCTCTTAATTTTTCTACTTCCTTGAACGTGTGAGGTCCGCTATTTTTTATGGCTTCATCCACCTGCTTTCTCCTCATCTCTAATTTTTCTTCTGGTAATCTTACGGTTTTGTCTTGTCCGTTCCAGATAAAACCAATGTACTTTTGCTCGGTTGCAAATTCCGCGTATATACCTTCGTCAGTTTTCACACCAAGTTCGGCGCTTAGTTTTACCACATCTTTCATGGTCGTTTTATTTCCGCTGGCAACGCTTTTTATGAAGAGATTGTCATCGACCCATCGGAAGACCACGTCGAACCCAAAGTGTAATTGCATCATATCCTTCCATGCGTCTGCCGGACCGCCAAAGCTGCCGCATCCCACTACGCCTCCAAACAAGACCCGTGTGTCCAGGATTATTAAACCCTCGTTCGTTCTTATCATCAAGAACTTCCATTGGTTAGGGTGGGTTGGGATTTGGCAATAAGCCTTTTCCCAATCAAAAATCCCTAGAACAAGTTCTCCTTTTGAGTTGGCAAAAAACAGTGCTACCTTCGCAAAGTCGTCCCAGGTAGTTTTGAACTTGTTCTTGTCAACGAAAGAGTTCACTGACGGTAAGTCGTCCTTGTGTTTTGGGAAGGACAGATCATTAATTATGTGTTTGGTTCCGTCCCCATTTGTTACTGCTCCCATTGGACTGGTTCTGAAGAATCCTACTCTCTTCAAAACTTCTTCCTCCGTGAAAGGTCCGCTCATCCGACCCGCGGTGAGTTCTTTTTGCAATTTTTGCTTGATTATCTCGTTTGCCTCCCCTGACCTGTCGTGGTTGATTGGTGAGTAGAATCTTAGGTTTTCTATGACATGTTCAGGAATTCCTTGGTTGAATCCGTTGCGGAATCCATCCATTATCTTTCTGTGTTTTTCCAGTAGGCCTAACTCTTTGAGCCTCTTCTCCCATTCTTTTAGGTTCATCTCGCATTCGACTGAGGTTGGCCACTCTTTGTTTGGTATCAGAGTCGGGGTCGCCTCATCCTCTGAATTGACACAAATTGTTGGACGTGAGTTTCATTCTTTTGTTCCCTCTGATGGTTTCTTACTCACCTTTGCTTTTTGGCATCGATGCTACGGTCTCTGCGTTCCCGTTTCCGGTGTGGTGACCTGATGACTGTTCTTCTATTTGGCAGGTTATCTTTCCCCCTGTTTCCTCGTCATCTTTCTGCTGTCTCATTATGTTCTCAACCTTCTGAGTTAAGTCCCGTTGATGGTTCTCATCGTCACTCAATTGGTTACTGTCAGATTCATTGGAGAGACATAGGAGTAGGCATCTGGGACATTCGTAAGTTTCACTTTGTTCTCGGAACTTAGAAAGCATGGGAATATTAATTCAGATGATCATTTGGATTACTTCTACTGGTAGAATTGACAAGTCTCGTTCAGAACAAATTAACTCTTTCTAGCACAATTGTATTGACATTGACAAAGTGCCATTTGGTGTGACTCTCTGCAGAAAACAAACATGCGTGTTTGGGTTTGTCTTTTATGATGATGGTATATGAAGGAATGGAGAAATTTGGTAGACAAGAGGGGAAAAAACCAAACGACAAGCAAAAATGGAGAGAAAGAAAAGATTAAATAATAAATCCTTAAAAAGTAAAAAATAAAAGATTCTTTTTGAGGGGGAGAACTGATGACAACACGAGTACTTTAAGTAGGTCTTACTATGTTTGCTTTCCTCCTCCGTTTTGCCTATTCAATATGGCTAATGCAACACCTTGTCTCCTACCACCCGCCTTGGGTACTATTGCCAGCTGATTTTGTGGTTCGCTAGGACCTGCTATCGTGCCTCCTTGATTGTAGGTCGGTTGAGAAGTATGCCCATACATATTGTTGTTTGCGTACGGGACACTGGGTTGGAAAGTATAGGTGGATGATGGGAAGTAACCACTGTAGGGGGGATTCTGATTGTTCTGGTTGCGACTAAAGTACTGGCTCGTGCTCTGATTGTGGTTGTGAGTGAATCTGTTACTTCCTCCATTAAAGTCTGTCTTCCAATTTTTCTTGCTGTTGTTGTTACGCTCAAAATTATTCTTTCTATTATTGTTGTTGTTGTTGTGGTTGTTGCGTCTGCTCTTAGAACCACTTTTCCACCCGTTACCGTCTTGGTTGGATGTCGAAGTATTGTTCTTTGTTAAATGCTTTCCGCCAAAAAGCAACGGCTCGGTATCAACAGCAGTAGACGAGTATGGGTTTTCTGCGTAGCTACGCTCTCCACACGCTTCCGCCTTGTCCTTCGCGGCTCTGAGTATGTCTTGATGTAAGATCCCTGCATTGTTCATTTGCCTCTTCCCGTTCTTGGTTTGTTTCTGCATTACTAATTTTCTGACTTTGATGCAGTACCTCAGGGCAACCATCCAGCAGGACGTGGATCTTCTGATGTCGATCACATTTGCCTTATGTTTCCTAAACATTTCGTCCGTTTGCTCCATGTGGTAGAATTTGTCTATGTATTTGATGAATAGGTCCATGAAGTCCATCCAGTCGCCATAGGACAGTAGAAATTCTTCTTCTGGAACTGTACCTGAGTAAGTTGGTGTGTCATCGCCCTCTTGAAGTTCCTTCACGCTTGTGACCTTTTTCAGACCAGCTTTCTTGATGTCTCTATCAATCCAGTCTTGATTGAAAATGGTTAACAGAACGTATGCTTTTAGTTTTGTCATTCTCTGGTGTATGCTGTTGGATAATTTAAGCAGGTGATTATTCGACAGTTCCTGGTCATCGACAAAGGTGATTTCTTTTTCAGGGTCTGATAAGTCTTTGTTGTCTGATGCTTCTTCAAACAGTAGCTCTTTCTTTTTGGTTGTTGAGTTGCTAGGTACTCTTCTAGCAGAGGATGAAGATTTGCTCGGGAGATTCATGGTCGCCTTTTGTCGTTTAGCAATATTAGTTCTGGAGGAATGCGCTTTCCTACTGTCAAGGCCTTGTTCGGCAGGATCTTCGTCTAGGATCAGAGATTCCGTACGTGGGCGTCTCTCCTGTTTCCTTCCTCTTTCCTCCAATACTTCGGGCTGTCTGCCTCTATCAGGATCAGGATTGAAAGGAATGTCTCCGTACATTGCTTTGAATGCCGACAACATCGTCCTTCCTAGCATTGGGTCGCCATCATCAAAGGATTTAATGATCGTTCTCCACCAGCTATTACGGCTTTCATTTTGAGCATCTGCGTGGTCTGACAAGGTGACACTATGTTAGTTTTGACTCTATCTCAACCTGTCTCTTTCCTTTGAGGTTTCCCCACACAATGAACGGACAAGGAATTTGTATGAATACGTTTTTGGGCTGTGTCAATCTTGGGTTTCACAATCACTATGACCGCAGCTTTCCTTAGGACTGGATATCAACCGTTGGGGCGCAGAACTACGTCTGGTCTAGTGTACACTCTACATTTTTACTTTTACGCCAATGGCCACTTTGACATTGCGTCACTTCATTTCTCAGATGGACATTTCAACATCATCACACTCAGATGGACACCTCAACATCTCGTTTGACAAGTGATGTCAAACGGTCCAAAGGATTCCTGATTTGTTTGGTGGACACTTCTACACCTAAACTTTGTCTTTTTCTTTGCGATGGGCACCTCAACATCGACTTTTGGACTCATGATGATGGTCACATCAACATTGATCATGGTGACTTCTCCATGACCGCATAGTTACAGACTTGTTGGAAATTCTTTATGGGGTAGGTTTTATGAGATTTTTTGGAAATGTGTGAGTGCGATTGGATTATTGGATCTACTATATGGTTTGGTGAGAAAAAAGGTTGATTCTGAAAGATTTTGTGGTTAAGGTATATGTATATATAGATAGAACAGAGATCTTGGAAGGGGTGAATTGGAAAGTGGAAAGGACCTCTGGAAATGGGTGTTGATTGGTGGCGCCAACAAAGGAACGTCTTGGCGATGAGTTCCATGATTGAGAGGCGGGTTGACTCAGACAGTAGGCTATGCTAGTAGCAAGGGGTAACCAGAGTAAGTCGGTTCCCCTCGCACGAACGAGATCAGAATTTTCCCTTCACGATCTCACACGTCTGTTCAACACTCGCTAGTCACTGAACTCTAAACCATCATCTTTGCTTTCAAACTCTTGATTATATATATACAGGATTAATCCTTCAAACACAAAGACAAGAACCTCCAAGGCAATATCAAGACCCGCAAAGAAAGAAATGGTAACCCTCGCAGAAGAATTAGCTCAGTCAAAGAGACTAGCCGAGATCGCTCTTATAAACGGACAGCCCGGTCCTAACACGAGAAACAGATCTCAAAACCGACAGGAAGCAGAGACACAAGAAGAGTACTAAGTGGACTACACAAACGACGCTGAGGACGAAGACCCCAAAATGACTTCAAAGATCCTCTAGACGACGAGGAAGGAGACGAGTCAGACCCAAACGCAGGGCAGGACAGAGCAGAGGGGCGAATCAGGGAACCGAGGGAGGAACAGATGGAGGATGGAGAGTCAGGAGGAGATGAGATAAGAGGAGGTTGTGTACGCACGAAGGGACTATGATCTAGGTAAGACCAAATCCAGGCATGGCCACCGAAAAACCTCCTTCCAGTTTACCCCCCATGAAGCTCCCCTTTCCAAAAATCAGACCGATACACCGTCCACATTTCTCTTCCATCTCCCAAAACATCCCGATAACACAATCCTACCCGTATTCCAAATCATATCCCCCCAAAACACAACGAAAGTCCCAGAGAGGGTGCGCGGCGTTGATGTGTCCGCCCGCGCCGTGTGACGACAGCAAGACGTAGACGTATCCATCCCAGTCAAGAGAGAGGGAGAGACGAGAAGAAGCCGTCCTAAATAAGACCTGATGTAGAGGTGTCCATCAGAGTAGCAACCGTCCATATAGAACCTGATGTAGAGGAGTCCATCAGTGTAATAACCGTCCCAGTAGAACTTGATGTAGAGGTGTCCATCAGAGCAGGCGCCAGAAACCCCCGAGGGCATAAGAGCCAGTGACGTCGAGACGTCCATCCAACCAGGAGAGTGAGACTACAGACGGGAAAGCAAATAATCAAGACCCTTGAGGGGAAATCTAATAACCCAAGAATTCAACCCGCGGTTGCAAAAGATTGAACAGGCAAACTAATGTGATGCGGTGGTTTTCCAATCTCGCGCAGATGTCCAACGAGACTGCCGTAACAGCTGGTGGAGAAACATCGTAAATGCCTTTGACAACGGAGACCTCATGCTGGGAGAGACAATGATGAAAGCGTACGAGACGACCTATGGCTCGATACCGTTCAACCCGCTAGCATCCAGAGGAAGACGCCAAGAGAGAGGCGCAGAGCTAGAACACTACAGAGACAAGCGTCCAAGAACAGAATCCCTGATTCAAGACGACGAGCTCCTGGACGAACTAGAGAATGATCGGCCAACCCAGACCACGCTGAAACGCACAAACCCCGCAGAGCAGCCTAGAACTTTGAGGGTGATGCTCCCATCACGCCAGGAGAGAAATGCGACACACGGCGGCGCGGTTAATCCCAAAGCATCCTCGTCGAAGAAGTCGAGGAGACCCACGGTCGAGGTATCATCCGAAGAGGAAGACGGGTCAGATCCCGAGAAAGGGATAGTGTTTGTAGATGATCAGGAGCTATCCAATGATAATTTACTCAGATTATCAAATGGTTTTCATCAGAGAATGAAGAAACTCACAGCTTACCTTCCCCTAACCGTTTTCAATGCGGATTGGATTGAGAAAGACGTAGAGAAAGCTGGAATGAAGAAAGTCAAATCGGTGAAGGAGCTCCAAGAAGGAGACGAGGTCCCGACGTACTCAGGACTCACGCCCAGAGACGAGTTAACTCTAACGTATGGGGAGTGGATGGACGCAATAGACCTGTTCATATGATACGTAGAGGAGTTCTACCATCTGAAACGGTCTGCCGAAATGTTCAGGAAGCACAAGTCGATCGTGGTAGACATCAGGCGATCAACATCATGCTGGATGATAGCCCTACGGTACTGTATCAAGGTCCGGAAACTGGTGATGCAAAACAGGCTGGGTTCAGGAAGACACGACAGATGAGCAACGCCGGGATTCTGCACAACGACATCCTAAGAGCAGCAAAGGACAAAGCGGAGTCTCTAGGGGAAAGGGCTTACACGGAGAACCCGTATTCCAGCTCGAACGGCGATCCTGACCAGTCAATCCCAAGGAACAACCCAAAGGGAGATCTCTCAACCGGTAACCAAGACATCGGCAATTGGAGGAGCAGTCCAAGTTCAAGAACAAACAATATGAACAGAAATCAGCGAAACGATAATCTTAAGAACAGTAGCAGTCAAAATAGGAGGAAACCCTGGACCAACGACTGGGGTAGCCACAACAACAACACACACAGCCCAGCTCACCACAACGGTGGATTCCAATTCAACCGAAACCAGAATAACACCTTCCGGCAAAGTGGAAACTTCGGAGTGCCCTACCAGAACAGTCTAAGTTACCAACCAACTACCCCCTACGGCACATTAACGTACCGAAGCCCTTTCCACCAACCCTATCAACCGAGCTACTACCATGCAGGCACATCGAATGCAGGCAAAACCCAGGGCCAACTAGCAATAGTGGCAAAACCAAGTGGGAGTAACCAAGGCAATGCGTTAGCGATAGTGAATAAGCAAAATGGAGCAAATAAACAGTCCTGGTAAGCAAAGACTCACTAATTGTCCCACGTCATCCTACCCCAATTTTCCGAAATCCGTCGTTACCACCTTTCCTAATCCGTCGATGTCACTTCCGAAACCACCTCCGCGTCATTAGATTGAGTTAGAAAGCTCAGCAGCAAATCCAAAGCCGGAAGCCTGATGGGATGGGCTGTCAGCCCTGAGCCCTGATTACACGACCACGGGCTAACAGTTACATATGTAATATTATATTATTGTATAAATCCATAAGTACATCTCACGGCTCAGTGTCAAGAGCCACATAAACACATGTACATAATGTATTAAATACGTAGCAAACCTAACCCAAGCGCCAACCACAAGTGAGACAAGAATCACACGCCAACCACAAGTTGACGCTTGACCTGTGAATATATAAACCCCCCTTCTTCCCTTGATTCATCCCCCATCTTTTCACACACCACAACATCAGAATCACATTATACTTGAAATCCTATTGAGAGGATCTTTCAGTACGTGATTAGTTGTGTAGTCTAAAAGACCATCTTTGAGCATTACGGGTTCCATTGCTGAACACCCTTGGTATTGATTTCTACGAGCCCTGGGCCATAAACGTCTCTAGAAATAAACCATAAAGCAGTAAAGCTTCCTCCCTCACCAGGAGTCTAAAGTAGCCTCAGGATCTTTGGTTTACCAAAGTGTAAAGCCTGCCCCTCGCAGTCTCACGAGGTTTTAGCGTATTTACACGTAATAGCCCTTTCCTTCCCCTTTATTCCCTTAAACCCTCTTCTCAGAGGTCAACTAACTGTAGTCTTCACTTGGGTGTACCAATTGAAGACCAGTTTTCCCTTTACCTACGCATTTCTCAGTGAAGAGTACGCCTAACAGACGCGTACCCCTCACATGGGCGGAGGCGAGGTGGAAACTGTGGGTGGGAAGTGAGACAAGCATTGATAGTCGCATGGTATCAGAAATCGCAACATGCTGTTGTAATAGCCGACCCCCAAAAAGAAATGATTCCAATGTATAACCAAACATTTACTGCCCCTTTAACAAAAAAAAAAAAAAAAAAAAAGAGAGAGAAAGGAAACTTACTTGTGGTTGAATCACATTGTCCCCCCCTTTTTCATCTGAATCTCACCCGTCTGAAATGTAACCGCAATCTGACAGTAACAGTGGAGTGACGCATGACGTCAACCTTAGTGAGCCAAGTCCGAGTTGCCAAACGAGAGAGGAAGTGAACGTCAACAGCCTGAGAATCAACAATAGGCAGCGAGACGAAGTAGCCCCAGAGTCGTTCAAAGGTGAGCACGGTACAGGCTGACGATCTAGAAGTTGAGATCGGAATACTGAAACCTACGACGTCCAAAGACCCGCAGGAAGTAACAACGTCGGCACTGAAGCCTAACAGAGAGTGGCCCACGTCAGTAACCTGCGAAATGGATCTAGACAAGTGGGAGGAAGTCCTGAGACAGCTCGACCTGATAGAGAAGCATAGAAGCATTCTGGAGGGATTCAGGACCGGATTCAACCAAGGTATCCCAGAGCACGTTTTAGAAGGAATGTGATTCTATTCGCCGATGAACCACGACAGGTCAAGAGAATCTGAAGAAGTAATAGTAGGGAAACTGCAGAAAGAACTCGACTCGGGTCAAATGAGGGGACCATTCACAGAGGATGAAGTCCTGAAGAAAGTAGGTTTCTTTAGGTCCAGCCCAATGGGAGTAGTAACCAACGGGGACGGGTCGAAACGAATCATCAACGACTTGTTGTACCCAAAGCATAAAGAGGACTTACCATCTGTAAACTCGTTTGTCGATAAGAACAAATTCAAAACTACCTGGGACGACTTTGCCAAGGTAGCATTCTTCTTCGCGAACACGGAATGGGAGTTGGTGCTGGGAATCTTCGATTGGGAAAAGGCGTACCGCCAGATCCCAACTCACCCTAGTCAATGGAGGTTTCTCATGATTCAAACAAACGACAACAGACTGATCCTGGATACAAGGGTTTCATTCGGTGGGGTCACAGGTTGCGGAAGTTTCGGAGGCCCCGCTGACGCGTGGAAAGACATCATGAAAAGCCACTTCGGATTCGATGAAGTGTTCCGCTGGGTGGACAACAACCTGTTTATAAAGGTGTTAGGAAAGGGCAACAGGACTACCATGAAGGACGTGGTCGACCAGAGCGCGGTGTTAGGAGTAAAAACCAATGAGGGGAATTATTCTGAATTTGCAACCAAACAGAAATATATTGGTTTCGTCTGGAACGGTAAGGAAAAATCAGTCAGACTGCCAGAAGAGAAGCTTAAGGAGAGGAAAGCGCAGGTAGACGAAGCAATAAACAGGAAGGGACCACATACCTTTAAGGAGGTGGAGAAGTTGAGAGGGAGACTATCCCATGTGACCAATATGTTACCTCAAATGAAGTGCTTCAACACAAGCCTCGACCACTGGATGGCAACGTGGGTAGAACAGAGAGCACCGAGACCCATGCCGAGAAATGTTTACGAGGACCTGTGGGAGTGGAAGAGGGTACTAAAAGACTTCACCAACCACAGATTAATACCGAAGAAAGAATCGATTGACGTAGGATGGGTAGGCGATGTCGCAACAAGCCACGGGATCGGCATTATAGTCGGGAACCGTTGGGCCCAGTGGAAACTGAAAGACGGTTGGAGCGAGACCGACTCACTTGGTGTGAAAAGGGACATCGCATGGGCCGAGACAATAGCGGTCCGACTAGGCCTGGAAACGGTGGCAAAGTTGCAGGATGTCCGTGGCAAACGTTTCCAGTTCTTGACGGACAATACTACCACGGAGGCGGTAGTACGAAACTTGAAGTCGCAACACGTTGCAGTGAATCTTGAATGGCGCCGGATCCAACGGAGACTGGTCGAGCTGGATTGTGACCTAGAGGAGAAACGAGTAACATCACTAGGAAATGACGCCGACGATCTATCTAGAGGAATCAGAATAAAAAAGTACGACTCAGATAGGCTACAAGTAGACGTACTGGAAGATCTTACGGATTTCATCGCACAGTCAACAGTCCCCCTCTCCCAACCCACTAGTGATCCTGCTCAGACACCGCAAACAAGCACCCCGCCTCAGCAAAGAAATCGAAATGAAGAACCAGCGCCCAAATTTCAAAAGAATTGAGGACGAGATTGCCGATGAAAACACTAGAAGAATAGCAAGGCACATGGTAAGCGGTTCCTGGGCCAATTTGACAATGCAAGGCTATTCTAGTGCGGTGTCAAAATTCAAAGAATACATCAAAAGCGAAGGGAAGGATTGGGACTCCGCTATACCAGTGCAAGCAGAAGACGTGTACGGGTTCATCGTGTGGGCCGGAGAATCGAACGCCGAGAAGGGGTGTTCCGCTAGAAGGACAGTAAAAGCTAAAACGATCGAGAAATATCTTGCGGGCCTGGTAGCATGGCAAATGGCTACGAAATTGACGCCACCACAGTTGGACCAGAGAATGGTAAAAGCCCTCATAAGAGCATGCGAACGGGCCGAGGAGCAGTCGAACCTAGAGCCGGCGGAGGAGGTCGATAACCCGGCGACCAGCGGGGAGAAGAACCCAATCCTGGTATGAGAGCTCATCAATCTAGTTTACGAACTGGCAGGAAAGTTGGACGAAGATGAGGCCATAGCAACAACAGCACTCGTAGTGTTCTGGGGCATGATGAGATTGGGCGAACTGACTAGAGAGTCGAGGAAAGAGGGAATGTTAACAAGGAAAGATTTGAAGATTGAGGGAAAAGGAGAGAAAAAGGTAGCAGTGCTTACTCTATGGAAAGCAAAGACCGCTAGACCTGGCGAGGCGCAAGTCATAAGGATCCCATCACAGAGGTCCATCCTAGACCCAGTGGCAGCCATCGAACGCCTACTTGAGCGAAACAAACCGTTCGGACAAGAGGACGCACTATTTGCGTACGGTTTAGGGAGCGAAAGGAAACCATTGACAAAGAAACGGTTCATCAAGCGCCTAGAGACCTTCTGGGGAGAGAGCAGAGTAAAGTCTGGAGTCTGGTCTGGCCACTCTTTCAGGGTAGGCGGTGCCTCATAAATGGGAGAAAGAGAAAATTATGAAACAAGGACGCTGGAAGTTGTCAGCGGTGGACGTGTACTTAAAGAACTATACACAGTTCAAGCTACAGGACGTGAAAGACCTACTATGGGCAATTGACCGAAGAAACGAGGCAGCCACGAGGAAACTCAAGTGAGGACGGTGAGTAAATAACCTTTTCTTTAGCCGATGATGATCCAGCCTCACGAAGAACGTAGATTCAAGCAAGCGTAATCTTGCTCTCCTGTTGATACAGAAGCGCCACGTGATCGACACCGCTGTACAGGCGAAACTTTAAAGGTATAGGGTAGAGGAGGAAGAAACAATGACTAGGAGTGCAGTGCCGGAAATGGTAGTGGAGAATTGAGGAAAGTGTAACCTCACGCCTGAGGCTAGATCCACCAAGAGCGTCGTAGGATGCAAGTAATAGTCCTACAGGCAATCAACAGAAACTATGAAGCATCATAAGCACATTGAGAGTACGGTAGAAGGCACAAGCCACGCGGGTTTTGGGGTGTCCTCGCCTTGCCAAGCCCCGCAGAGAGCCCGGCAGTTTGGGCAGTGGTCGAGGAAACCCGTCAAACCCCGTGAGTCATGACTTGAAACAAGCCCCCGGATTTGCGTGAGAAAGAAAGTTTTCCGCATCACGCAAACCAGGCAGGCCGGCAGCCGCCTTCCCAAAACGTGGGTGATATCCGAAGAGTTACATATATACATATATCATCAAGTTATGATAGCAATACGCAAGTGAAAGATACTTGCCACTCACCAAATGGATTGGTGGCGCCAACAAAGGAACGTCTTGGCGATGAGTTCCATGACTGAGAGGCGGGTTGACTCAGACAGTAGGCTATGCTAGTAGCAAGGGGTAACCAGAGTAAGTCGGTTCCCCTCGCACAAACGAGATCAGAATTTTCCCTTCACAATCTCACACGTCTGTTCAACGCTCGCTAGTCACTGAACTCTAAACCATCATCTTTGCTTTCAAACTCTTGATTATCTATATACAGGATTAATCCTTCAAATACCACCCACCCACCCAGCGTACTTGTTGGCAAGCCCCCGTATTTGCGTGAGAAAGAAAGTTTTCCGCATCACGCAAACCAGGCAGGCCGGCAGCCGCCTTCCCAAAACGTGGGTGATATATGAAGAGTTACATATATACATATATCATCAAGTTATGATAGCAATACGCAAGTGAAAGATACTTGCCACTCACCAAATGGAAGGAAATGAGGTGATGGGATGACTTTCTGGATCATTCGGTTGTACCTTGTCTAGGATCTCTTGTGACGTTGATCATCGGCAACCCTTTCGGTTGGTCATCCTCCTCAGGGGAATCTCTAGGTTCTCGTAGCCTTCCGACTAAACCATTTGGCTTCTTTCCGGTGCCTGCAGGATCTTCTTCTCCTTCATCATCCACATACTCGATCTCGTCGTTAAAATCCTTCTCGGGATTGTCATGATTGTCCTCCTCCTCGTAGTCTTCTCCACTACGGTTTGTTTCTTCGATTTCATTGTCGTCATCTTTGTCTTGGTTCCTTGATCTGCTCCTTGTTCTGGGACCGGACTCGCCCTGGGCTAAAGCACGTTCTGCTAGTCTTCTGGACTCTATAAGTTCTTGTGCAAAAGTTACCATTTTGTGTTGTTTTTGCTTTCCGTGAGTTTTTCCGGTTAGGATTGTTGTTTTAATTGGTTGTTAAGTTATTTTGAAAGGTTAAATACACAAAAGGATGTGCAATGGAAACTTTGAGTTCTTGATGACTAGCGTTTGTTGATCAGACGTGAGAGAGAACGTAGGAGGGAAAATTTTCCACGGTTGGGCGCGGCCAAATTTTCTCACGGTTCTCGCTATTCATGCTATAAGCATTTATGCTAACATCTTCAACAACGTGCCACTCAGTCATGGAACTAAGCGCCAAGTGGTGCCTTTGTTGGCGCCACCAATCAATGGCCCCTTGAAAAACATCATTATTGTAGGCATCCCGAAATCAGTCAACAATTTGTTTGATACAACTGGCAACAGACGTGTAGTCAACAACATAATCAACCTACTAGCTGAATTCACTTTCTCAATATCAGAACTACGTATATATTAGATCACTCCACAGGCCCTCAAGTGCTCCTCTCACTTGGACCTCATCTCAATCTCTTTCCTTCAACACATCTACTCATTATCTATGTGTAGTACGAGTGCTGATTCTTTTTTTCAAATTTGTTGATTAGCACTTGCCAAGACCAAAGGCAAGGCTTGTAAAAATAGTGGTCAGAACCCAGGGTCTCCTCTGAGCCCGTCAGCTGCTAGTGATCAAACTCAAAAGCCACCAGATCCAGTGGTTTCTCACTCCTCTACCTCTGTGTTGGTTGCTCACTTACCACCGTGACCTCCTCCCTCCCATCCACCGCCGCTGCTGCCCACAACCATGCTCAACCCGGATTCAAGTACCATATGGTATTTAATACAAACTCTTCCTGAAGAGCTTCGTGTATTCCTTGAACCTGGATATGAAGACATGTACAACAAGATTTTGAAGTTACAGTTCTATCGTATTTTGCTTCACTTCGACCCCGCTACAAAATCTTGCATGTCTCATCTCAAAGCCAACCTCCATGCCGCTTTAAGAAAAGACATACTCCCACGCATTCTACCTTTCTTATTACCTCAAGCCCCTATCCCAATGGACACCAATGACAGCAAAGCCACTCTTGATGCCAATCCACTGGGACGTAAAACCACCCGCAAGTTGCTTTCCAAGGTGATCAAACACAAAGCCCCAAACGTGCCTATACCAGGGGCCGCTAGGCGTGATGGCTTACTTCTCCTCTATCAAGCACACATCAATCCAGGGCTAGTTATTCCTGGTCAAGTGGAAACCCTCTGAAAGCCTCATCTTGTCAAAACTCATGCGGTCAAGGATGAAGACATGGAGGATCTTAGATTTGCCCTTCAATGTCATGATCCCCATGTCTTTGTACATTTGATCCCAATGACTCATCAGGTCTTGGTGGATTGTTACTTACACTTTCTCCTGGATGAACCGTTACCCCTGGGCTCTTTGGTTTGTGGGTTCCATTACTCCATCATTGAAAAGTAATCTGTATGCATCAAGAGTTGGTATATATTCCCACTATTCAACTTCAATTATTTTCTGAAAGCCTTAGCATATTTCAGATATTCAATTGACACATCACTTTTAATGCAATGTATTTAACAGCTTCAAGTCTCTCCTAAACGGTTCAGACTTATCCAAGTTATAATAGTCACGATCCTCCCTGTTCATCTCTAGACTTAGTTTTTTGTATCAGGTTATGGTTGAGGATTTCGCTTCTGAGATGTAACTAATCATCAGCTATGCAGATGCGGCAGGTCTGTAGTGCATTGGTTTGATGAAATGGTGTTGCTTGGTTTCATTTGTAATCTATGACATGTATCATCTTATCTTCTGAAAAGACTGCCCTCTTGTCTCGATCTTCTTGGATATGTCTGTGTGCGTGTTGTATTCCCTTTTCCTCTTATAACAAGTTACTTATAAACCAACAAAAAAGTCTGTTTCCTCCTGTCTATCTCAATTGTTGTCTGCTTCCGATCTATCTGTTATCCAATGTCTGCCTCTTCAAAGAAAATCAAAGATGCCCATTGTGTTGTCTGTCGGTGCCAGACCCGAGAATGCTATTGCGGTAAATTTCTCAATGCTTATGGACAGGTCCAATCTGGTGTCAAAGTCTTGCCTTTGACTTGTGATGCACACGCAAGAGCTGATCTACGCAAGCAATCTCTTGAAGGTGGCTCGCAGCCTGCTCATCAAACTCTTGACAAGCTTATCACCCCGTTTGAACATCTACATCTGCTTCCACAGTTGCCAGGCGGCAACCACTTGCAACTGGTTCAACACAGGCACAGATGCCTTTATTGAGCTCTCGTGGTTCTTCAAGTTTGGCTTCAGTTACTGTTGAGGAGGTGGCTCCAGCTAGTGGTTTGACAGAAGTGAACTCCGAACTGATTAGGAATGATGGTAATAATACACATTCAATCATACCTTCTTATGATTGGGGTACGTGAAGGTCCAAATTCTCTCACAACATGAAGTTGCTGATGACCCATGGTTGTAACGTATATCCCTCAGATCAATTTTTCACATTCAGCTTGAAGGCAATCAACCCGCTGCTGCTTCATGTGGCGTTGTCTACCTCTATCATCAGTATCTTTGATAATTTGTCCGGCCAGACTGCTTTGTGGCTCATGGATGTACATTGTATAACCATTGAGCTTTCAATGACATTGGGGCTTCTTCCAAATCATTCACCCGGCAAGCTATCTCCCTCTGAACTCAAGATCTTTAGCCAAATTCCTCGTACTCTAACAACTGTGATTGGGTGGCTGAACATCAATCCCAATCTCCTGTTTATGAATTGCTGTTTGACCTGCTTTGCGATGCACCCCCTCAATCAAGCGCCGAATACATGTATGCATTGAGTGGCTAGCATTCCTGGGGGCCCTTCAGATTCCCTCGATTCCCCTACTAATAACACCACCAAAGATGCTGGAGATGAGAATGATCTGGACCTGTCTGAAAAAACATGTCTCAGTCCCCTTTCAAAGTTTGTAAGAGGAAAGAAAGTTCCAATCAGAAAGTACGCTGTCCAAGACTTCTCTCATTGGATTGTGCACTTCTTCTCAAGACCACATGTTGAGGCATGGCTTGATGAGTCACTGCCCAAATCTAGAAAATCATTCAATGAAGACGATCCCATATCTGATATACATGAGTCAAAGATTTGGAAAACATTCAAAGGAACCAATGAAAAGCAGTTCACTGCTACCAGTGGTAACCTTGTTTTTGGGATGTTTGTGGATGCCATCAACCCATTTGGAAATAAAACTAGCGGTCACCATGTTTCAATCACTTTTATCGTGCTGGTGTGCCTGACTCTCCCCATCAGACTGCGACATCTCCCTGAGAACATATTCTTAGTAGGAATTGCACCTGGTCCTCGAGAGCCATCTCTCAAGCAGACAAACTGGATCTTACGGCCAGTTGTGACTCAGCTACAGAATCTCTGGAGTCCGGGCCTTCTTTTGTCTTGTACACATTCTCACCCAAATGGATGACTTGTGAAGGCAGCGTTACTATCTTTCATCACAGATATTCCCGCCACCAGACGATCTCTTGGCTTTCCGAGTGCTACCGCAATGAGCTTCTGTTTGTGCTGCCATCTCATCAAAAAAGACATTGAAAACCTCGACACTGAGGCACGGTGCTTCTGCACACAAGATGAGCACAAGACGTGGGCATACCAAGCCCTTGATGCAAAAACAGCTGAGGAACATCATCATATCTTCAAGACACACGGAGTGCGTTATTCAGTGCTGGTTGAACTTGATTACTGGAATATAATAGATTTTCATGTGGTTGATTCAATGCATAACCTCTTACTGGGTCTATTATCCTGGCCCCTTCAAAGATTCTGGTCCATGCAAGATGTAAAGAATGAGGAAGAGGCTCACACAACAGACGTCTCAACCTCAGAGCTCTTACAACTCTTGGCAGAACATTCAACCCCGCTACCACCAAAAAATTACGCAAAGGAAGCTGAAACCACTCAGACTGAAGCTGACAATGCTGAGGTAGAGGAAAACACACTGAGTAGTGATACATCAACTAGCAATGATGAATTTGATCCACTGGCTGATGTTGGATGGAAAGGAGTTTGGGAGCCACCAGCAATTGAGGAGATAATCATTGATGCTTCTATGCTTTCAATAATCAATAAGCTTTTACCACAAGTTCAGATACCCTCATGGATTAAGCGCGCCATTCCCGTCCTAGGAAAAGCTTCCTTTGGAAAACTCAAAGCAGATGAATGGAGAAATCTCTTCTCCATTCAGTTGCCATTGATACTCATACCATTCTGGGCTGGACAAGACCAGGTAAAACTCTTGCTACTCAAGAATTTCTGTGATCTTGTATCACTGGTCAATCTAGCTCTCAAACAATCCATCTCAAAACCTCAAATTGATAGATACCAGTCGTATATTCAGAATTGCCTCAAGGGTTCATTAGCTCTTTTCTTGCACTGCAGTCTTGCACCTAACCATCATATGGCTATACACTTGGCAGACGGTCTCAAGAGGTTTGGACCAGTACAATTGTTGTGGTCCTTCCCGTTTGAGAGGCTCATGGGTAGCATACTCAAATGCTGTCATAATAATCATGTCGGTAAGTGTTTGTTTTCATTTAGATCATTTATAAAGGCTGAATTGTTCTCGTCTTCTGAATGTTTAACAGGGTAGCTAGAAATCACCTTCATGAACAACTACTGTTGAGCAGGCAACTTATCTGCCCTCATAGGTGATGATGACAAGCTACCCGAGGTTCTAGATCCGATCCTTATAAGACTAGACTTCAATCCCTTTATGACCCTCTGCTGCAAAAATCAAAGCGATTGTCAAACTCCAATCGTCAAGCAATTGATAACAATATTTTAAAGCAGCTTGTTATACGTCTGAATGAAGAAAATGGAAACAAGTGTATATGGATGCTGCCGCAAGATTGGTGTCTACTTTCAAAACATGAAGCCAAATGTTTTGCACCTGTCTTGGCTCATGCACATTTTTATAAACACTGGGTGAACCAAGATGTGACGTACTCTACGTTCACACACAGCCCTCATAACAGCTTTGTTGCTTTCAAGTCGCACTCAGGTCATAATGAAGTAATTGAATTTGGGAAGATCTTTTCGATCTTTACACATTGTCGGGCTCCAACTGTTTCAGAACATGTGTTTGATACGTGGGTTTATGTTCAGTGTTTTCCACACTTGCCATCAGGATGTTACAACCCCTTCTCCAAACTTCAAGTAGAGGATGTTCAATTCAACATTTGTGCTTGGGGGCCTACCAAGGACAAAATTATCAAGATGAATGAGGTGGTTTCTCACTGCGCGTGGATGATGTACGGGTGAGGTGAGATACATAAGGAGCTACGGGTGCCCACAGTGGCCCTGGTATTGATGGAAAGATGAGTATACGAGGTGCATTTGACAAGGTTGTAATATAATAATTAGTATTGCATCACTACCAAAAGCAAATGAAATAAAATTACAACAATTATTGCATTACAAAGTGAATGAACTGAAAAACTATGCATCATGACCCATTTAAATTGGTGATGACGGGAATTACACGGGACAGAATAGGTGAGGTCTGAATGTCTACTGTACTGCGCTCACAGGGTGACCACTTGGCAAGCCACTCTGAAGAATAGCAGTCCACGGGCAGTCCTGCAGGCGGTTTGATAGGGCTGCTGGGAGCATTTGGCGGACGTAATCGAGGTCAAGGCGGTCGTCTGTGAGCATTCTTTGGGATACTAGCAGTGAGGCTTGCTTTATAAGTATCCAAAGATATAAAAACTTGTTCCAAATGTTGACTGCGCCATGGTAGCGTTCGGACCCGGCAGGGAACCGCTGGGCGTAGTTTATTGGGAGATTTGAGCTTGTGGTCTGTCTCGTCATCGCTGCAGGCCACTTCGACAATATTTGAAAGGCAAAAGAGTGAATCTTTTGACAAAACAATTTTGTCTCATAATGCTATGAGCTGTTGAGCATTGCTGTCAGATAGTTTTACAAGCTAACAGATTGTACCTTGCCAAACAACTTACATGCCTCATTCTGGCCTTCTGTCGTATTTCAGCTGCGCCTTTTTTCTTGTGTTGATCATCTCAATCTTGCTCTTGATACCTGATGTCCCAAAGGTAAGCTTACATATTTGAATATAATGGGCTTGGACACTTGAATACACAGACTCACCGTTTTGATAGGAAGGTTGCATACACAGTGCCCGAGGAGAAGGCCCCCGATGTCAGGGGCCCAAATCTCTAACGCACAAGTATCCAAAAAACTGTGAATTTTCTGTCCAGGCCAAATTAGAACGCTGAGCCTGCTCAGCTTTCTACATCCCCAGCAGCCAGACTCAGGTTTTGACCTCAGGAGCACTGAGCTATCATCCAACTTCATCAACAGTAACAAGCTGAGATGAGCTGGTATGAGCCGAGCTGAGCAGTACTGCCCTGCTTGCATGAACCCAATCCGTTGAAACATACCACCGGGGTTCTCTGCTCAAATTCGGTCTGCACCCGCCAGGCACAAACGGTCAAGCCAGATAACTGGCCTCCAGTACAGCTCGCGAGGGACTTTGTTGAGTTTGGCCTATGACTGCTGTCGTTTGTGTTGGGGACTCACATCAAGCAACGTCAAGTACATAACTGAAAACGAAAACACAAACAAATCTATCTCTCAACTTGACTATTACTCTTATTGCCCTCATTGCCTCAACCTCAATCTCTTACATACTTGCTCTTACTTGTCCTGACTTTGGTCAGGTGCGTTGATGATTCTCATTTTGATTGTTTCTAACAAAACACACATTGAATGAATGAAACTAATATTTGATTTTCCGCTTTGTTTACTTCAGCTTTCAGAGTCTACATATTCAACGGGATAAGCATCATATTGGTTGGGTAAATATTCAACTTTCTTAAAGATCATAAAGATTGAGTATCTGATTTAAGTTGACTATTGACCGATCAAAGACTATTGCAGGTGGAGCTGCTCTATTAGCAATGCTTCTTGCCTTTGCCAATATCTTGTTGAGTTCTTTCTCCTTTCTACTCCATTCTCAAGTTCAATTCTATTGTATACTAATGCTTTTTTCTTTCTTCATTCACAATCTTGACAAAACAAAAGCTTACATTGTACCTATCATCGAAAACTATTAGAACAAAGAAAAATCATTCAAATCTTGTCAACGGCACCATTACATTCAAACACTTTGCTCTGGTGTACAATGGCCAAACGAATGGTATATTAATGAATTACCTGATCCAGGAAGAGTAAAATACTTTATAAGATCGATCCGATTAGCATTAATTTGGAAACGACCTCAACTTTCTTCACCCAGCTTGAAGGAATTGTTTGTTGAAATCAAGGCGGATGAAAGGATGATTAGGTTTATGAGAAGAACATTCAGAGGAGAAAAGGATGGGGAAGAAGGTCTGCTGAGGATCTTTGGTGTAGGATTTGGGAAGCTGTGGATGGACCGGAATCGATGCCTAGTGAAAAAGGGTGGCTTATATTAGATCGGAAAGAACCAATGATTCATTTGAATAGCTTTAATTTGATTGAAGTTGGAACAATTATGAAGAAAACAAACCGGATTTAATCAACACATCAGAGCAGACTGTGGCTTGATCATCTACAAGAGCTTCTAGCCCAATTTCACTCACTCATGAAAGTATTGTTGGCGTATTCCTACAACTTTTGCTAGGTTAGGAGCCTTAGATCTGGTGGAGGAAGTGATCAAGTTTGTACGACAAAGTTGTGGAGGGATGTTACTCTATCTTTGGGCATCTATCTTACAAGGATTAGTATGGCAACAAGATTATGAGCTTACAAAACGGTTCTATGATCAGACGAGAAAAGAAGATGCAATCAAACCTGATCTGAATGTGAGTTGTTTAATGATCAGTACTTCATTAGGTTCATCATCCCCTGGAGCAGTAGATGTAGGATTATCTGCAGTTGATTCACTTTTACTTAAAGGATCTACCAAAACTTCAAGGTGCTCAACTGAAGCTCTCAATATAATCATTTCATCTCTCTTACAACATATGAACTGATTGAAAGAGCCGAAGAATTGGTCCACCTTGCTCGACGCCTCGCGAGGATGCGCAAGCGTGGTACTTTCTTAAGTTGATCCAGAAACTTAAAACTACAAACCTCAATACAACAACGTTGAATCATCTTTTGAATTTTCATTTGAAATACCAAGATTCAAATGGGGTTTTAGCAACCTTAAAACGATTTGAAGAACTTTCAGTCCAACCTGATGTAGTTTCATTTACAATCTTATTAAATGTATTAATAAAATTATGTTGCGGTAGAAATGGAGCCAAGAAGTTATCAGAGATGATGGAGAAATTAGGTGTGAAGGCTAAATTTATTACGCATGGATCTATTGTACATCATTTGTGTATGAGTGGGGAAGTTGAAGAACTAGAAATTGCTGCTGGATTAGTAGATGAGATTGATCAGAAAGGAATGTAAGTCTAATAATCTCCCTTTTTCTGTCTGCATGTGTTTATGATATTGATCTAGGTTTTGGACTTTTTATTTAGAGCTACAACTGCCATCACATACACCGCTTTGATCCAAGGATACCTACGAGCATATGTCAATGAACACAGAACAAGTAGTACCCAACCCACACCCAAGAAGTTCACATAAGCGACTAAGCTAATCAATCAAATGAAATCACACAGGCATCCAATCAATGAAGTTGTTCAACACGCTTTACAAGATGCATTTCTTTCCACCAACCAGATTGCTGAAGCTATGGAATTCCTTAAAGATTCATGTAAGAAAGATTAACCCTAAGGTATCCTTGTAGATAAGTGAGTTTGTTGTTTCCAAAAAGCTGAGCGCAGAAATAACAGAGACCTACCCAAAATGACTACATAGGCAGATGTCAGGACGGTTCAATATCAGGGTCACAAAGTTGAAAACTTGAACGTCAATTATGCTTACCCTTGTATGTACCATGATATCCATTGGTTCAATTGTTCATATCCAGCATATAAGAAAGAGCAGGGATCCTGCATTCAATGTTCAGAAGCGATCAAGCAACGTCAACGGTCATCAAGTCTGAAGCTATAATCGGGATTGGCGCATACAGGTTGATAAAGCACATCCAAATGGTTGCCGTGATAACCTGAGGAAGGCCATGAGGCCAAAAGCTGATATTCAACCAAGCTGTCAGAATATGCTGGAGCAGGCTAATCACAGATAATTTACTGACCCCAATGTCCAATCACCTGTGAATACACAATAATGCAGAGCGATGAAGTGCCATCAGGTCAGCTTGATTTCTGGTGTCTAAATTGAGATTGGTTGAATGAACGTCTTACTAGGATAGAGCGGTATCCTTTGTTTCAATTCATAATACATTCCTTGGAATGGCTTGTACTGATACATCGTAGTCCTTTGGCTTTAAGGTACACCATCCTGATAGGTCAATGGAGACCCTAAGGCTTGATGTGCTGTAAGAGATCAAGTATAGGTTCAGGATGCTGCAATGGATCATTGCTAGACTTGAGTCGCTTCATTGAGAATAGATTGGACTGAGATTGTGTGATCCTGAAGAGGCGATAAAGAAAGGTGGGGTAAATTTTGGTTGACCACTCATCTGATCTGACAGGATCTGACCCCGCAGGTGTGTCCAGACGTGTGAGCTGGCTCTCCAATGTGTAACCGACAACGGTCACTAGCTTTTCTCGGGCAAGGATAGTGCATAGGGAGCTTCCAGGGTTCAATGAGTAACACTGGGTGTTCACTGTTCAGTAAGGAAAAATGACCGTTCAGTTGGTAATGCTGAGAGTTCAGGTCTGCTTGTCTCCTAGTCCGCCTGAGTCTTGACTCAGACGGATGAAGTTCAGTACAAGCAATATTCTTCCAATATTTCCCCTTTGTGGATAATTGCACACATTTGGGCCACAAAAATCACACAAATGCGACAAACTTGCCAAGACCTTTGGGCCCCCGACGTCGGGGGCCTTCTCCACGGGCACTGTGATAGGTAGCCAAGCAACACTTGATCTGTGCGGAGTGATCTGTTGCCAAAGAGCCCCCACTGTATTCACCGCACTCTACTAGTTTAGTAAATATCCGAAGAGCAAGATCCCACGGGAATCAATTATCCTCTGAATTGAAGAATTCCGCAAAATTGGGTCAAAATGATGACTCCCCCACGGATCTTATCATCCGCCATATGACAGCCAATTGCTGCGGAGTTGAGCTGATATGCCCAGGTCCATCCGGATATGGAAAGCATGGGTCAACAGGGGTGTGTTGTGAAGTTGGTAAAGATGAGTCGGAATCAGCGTCTAAGGAGGAGATATCAATGTCACACATCCAAGCGTCTTTTACATCTGGGCTTGTGGGTGGTGGAAGTCTGGTTTCGTTGGGTCCCATTCCCAAAAGCATATCAATGTGGAAACGCATGTGTGACTGTGTGCCGTGTAGATGTGTCAGTGTTGCATTAGTGACAGATAGAGATATTATATCTTGACACTTACAGCCAAACAGCCACCCCGTGTCTTCCTTTTAGCTCCACTCTGCTTCATTTTGAAAGTACTTAACACACGCAATAGATATCTTATGTCATCAGATAATGACTCCACTCTTTTGTAAAGTACACGGTTATGATCTTCCAGGTGTCGAATACCACGCAAATCTTCAACCACACGAGTCTGCAACTCAGCCATACTCATATTTCCAGTGCAGGTTTCTTCGTCAAGAGTCTTGTTGGCTTTGTTTGCGTTGAAAGTAGTATTCGGATGCGATTTTTTGGAAGGGTTTTTGGGAAGATCAGAGTATGAAGGAATATTTCTTGACATTGCAATTTCAGGCTCATGACCACACTTTTGAGAACTTTGAAAGTTTGAAGAGATTTTGGAAGCAGCTTCTGAAAAATCATCCATCTGACTATCAGCCTCCCATTCGCTTTCAGTGCTGTTCTTCTGCGATTTTGATTTAGAGGATTTGAGGTATGTAGGATTTGGACGGGGATAGGATAGACGGTGGTGCTCTAGACTTGGTAAAGAGGTCATGCAAGTTCCAGAGGTTGGGGTATTTGAGCTCGAGAAGTTGAAGTCGAGGGTATGTTAAGTTGAACGTCAGACCCTGGAGATGCAAATAAAAGTTCAGCGTGATCAAGATGAATTGCATCACAAAAAAACTTGCAAGCTGAGTTAGAATCCAATTCCACACTTGCGACACCTTCTCGCACAACCCTTTTCCCTTTACGTGAATCCATAAGCAGGTGTGACGGATTCCCCTCTGAATCCCCAGGCTGGAAAATGAAAGGAAGATGTGACTCTTCTGAGGCATCTTCCTGCCAGGAACAAGTGGATTTAGAGCGTTTTGAGGATCATTGCATCAAAGACCCGTGCGCTGCTCCTGTTGGTGAGTCTGGTCCCAACCCCTTTTTTGTAATTGACCTCTGAGTCCTACAGATTGGTTGCTGAGATTCACCGAAGTCCTGTGGTCAAGTTAAGTCAACTCAGAAGACTTTCTTTGATAGCAAAAACTTAAAGTCAAATTGATAGGCTTACCAGGTTCCAACGCTTTTTTGGCAATCAAATTACGGGTCCTACGGCTTGGTTTCTTTGATTCATCAAATTCCCCCTGTTGAGGTGAGTGGACTTATGTTTTTTTCCCATGAGAGACACACTGTTTTGGTAACAAAACAAACTGGTCAAATGAAATCAATAGTCTTACCAGTCAAATGGGCCTCACTTCCTTTCAAACTGGCACGGTTCTTTGTTTTCTTGATACATATGTCAGGAAGCGGGGACACATGAGCCGGGGAAGGTGGAGTCTCTCTTGCTTCTTCTGCAATTGAATGTCTTGATCCTGCACCTTCAAGAAAACCAGATTGTTCAAAAGATTTCGAAAATGGGGGTTGTGTAGTTTCTGTTGATTAAATGTGGACATTGGGCATGAATGTGGAAAGTCAAGAGCTGATCTCCCCTACTAGCGTGAAAGGTGTAGATTTGAAAACATCTGAACTGTTGGTTTTTGAAGTGTTGGCATAGAAGGAATCTGGGACAATGACTGTTTTGATTCAAAAGGGCATTTAGTTTGCAGCACCGGAATAAAAGACTCATATCACTCACTTAGTTCATTATAAGCCTCGCATTGATGAATAAGTGCTTTTCTAGCAAAACTTTGAGTGTCGACCCCAAGCATTTGAAGCAGGTGTACCATTTGATGATCCTGGATTGGGATTAATCCACGGGGGAATCTTGCACTTTGCTGTCTTGCACTTTATCTCCGGCAGCAGTCTCCTGTATTTCATCTGCAGGAGATTTTTCTCAATGTTCAATAGGGCAAGAGCTTCCTTGAGGTTCGATTGTGGGAGCATTTGGAAGTGCAGAGATGTTGAGTTGATTTTTTTTGTGAGCAGATCCAGAACAATGGTTTTCTTTTGGCTGGTCTTCAAGCCGTAACCTCTTTCTTGTCACGTGCTTGTTGAGAAGCTCTAACAGTCAATCAATTGCGAGTTGTTTTAGGTCCAATTCGCACTGCTTGAGTTGATGGCTGGCACCCTTCTGTGAGTTTCTGCTGATTGTCAGAGCCTGATGACCAGCAATTCGAGCACCACAGGGATATCAAAGAGGAAAAACTGACCTTTGGAATCACGTGAGGCATTCCCTTTCCTTTTTTTGCTTGACTTTTTGCTTAAGTTCATCTTGTGATGTCAGTGATACCAACGGTAAGGAACATGCACACTGGGAATAATTGATTGAATATAAGGAAGTATTTCAAAAGTGAAGCAATGGAAGGGAAAGACTTCAGAGAGATTCGTAAGTATCAAAAAGATATTCACTAATGAAAGAAAGTGTATCACAAGCTGGAATTTGTAGACGTTGGAGTTTTTGGGAGACAAGTTATCAGGATATGTAAGTTGCGGTCCAGCCAAGCTCAGAAACAAGAATGAAACAGGACCGGCCTGTAAGGCGTGATGAAGTCTTATGATTTATCAAAAGAAACTCTACCAAGAGGACTTCAAGATTGCTTGATAAAGGTTTTAAGTAAATTGAATGGACACAGACAAAGGAGGAAACAATGGGTTGAAGGTTGTCACTGTAAAAAATCAGATCACGGCAGTGGCTGACCTCACAAATCTTACTAATCAAATGATCAAATCAGTTACATATATGTAACCATGTATATATGTAAGTTACCTGAGTCATAAAGGCAGTCTTTATTTTGCCTTTCAAAAAATGAATCCATACATAACATAATAGCTGTGAGAGAAGTGAGCATTGGATAGCTTTAAACTCAAACATACATCTTTGGCCTTGCATCAGGAGTGACTGTCACGGTCACTGTAAAGTCGCAGACGATAAAAGTTTAATCTAGCCAATGTTTTGAGGAGAAGTATTTGCTTGCGTGTATTGAGATATCTAATCATGATCTAAAGGTTCCATTTTCTGGTGTATGAAAGTTTGAAGCATCATAATCAGCAGAGTCCGTGAGATAATCAAAAAAACCATCATTGCTTTTGGAAAAATTCTTGGAACTAACCATGAGGTGAAGTCGTGTATCTTCTTGTTCTTTGACTTGCAAGCATCAACTTCCACACGCTATTTGCCACAGATATGTTGACATTTGGTCAACACCTGGCTAAATGGCTAAATAATGATTATAATGAAAAGCAAATACCCCATACCTACGCAGCATCCTGATCAACCCTGGCATTGTTATTGTTGTTGCCAACCTCGCCGGCACCGGGCTCTTCCTGCAGCTCAATCTGTAAGGGTACATTGAACGAGTAGAAGATTCCAGGCTCTCTTTCAAAGATGTGCGGTTTGCAAAGGATGGGTACCACATAATAAATGAAGGCGTCGAGTAGGACTGCCTTGCGTTGAAGGCAAAGGCAAGAGATGGTGTGATAGAAACATTTTATAAAATCGCGCAAGTCGTTGGCGGTTGTTGCTCTACTATGAATAACAGATAAGTCAAGAGTGACAAGTCTTTGAAGATGAACAGGTATGCTGTAGATATGAACCGGAGGAGGAAGGTTTTCAATGCTACCCAGATTAACAGGGAGGGGTGGATGGCCTTCAAATACTGGCTTGTTGGCCTGTATTTCTGGAGTTGGTTCCGTAGTAGAGGAGGTTGAAGACATGCTATGTATATGAAAAACTAAGAGTTAGAGATTGACTCTCAACAGCTATAAGATATTGATATAGGATTAATTATTGATCATTCAAATGATTAAAGCAAAGGTTCCTAGTATCGAATGAAAGCCTGAAAGAGGTCATAGAGGAGAAACTTTTTTTTGTTCTGATCAAGCAGTGAGGTGCAGCCCCAAGCTTGATATTTTCAAGAGCAATGGACCACTCAAGTCATGAGTTTGACTGAGACTAAAAATAAAGTTGATCCTGCAGTTACTTACTTCATTGATCATTGGACCAGATGCTAGAAAGAGGGAGAAGAGTTTGCCCTTGCATGCTCATACTCCTGATCTCTTTCTTACGACTTCAGGTTGATTACCCACGCCGCTTGACTTGGTTTTCAATAGTTTTTATGTACATAGTTTTATAACTGTGCAATACTATTATACGATATGACCTCATGCTAATTGCTTTAAGTAATCAATCTGAGTGCGTGTCTTCCTCTTGCATATATTATACTATGTATGTATATGATGGCATGACTGTCAGCCCCAAAAAAGCCAGACTGTATAATTGGGTCAAATTCATTTGTTGATGCATTCCAGATCTGATTGATTACATTTGTTTTGGATACAAATATTGTCTGTGATATATAGTATATACGCAAGATATTATTGGACTGATGTATACACATATCTCAGATACTCTGTATGTATAATGAAAATTTGAATCATTGAGTATGTACTAGGTACAACAGCCCACGTTGACAATGATCCGATGATGTGTCATTGGTATTGGGTAACTATATTCTTGAGTATCCTCGTTGACAAGTTAATCATATAGTAAAAGGTTGACTTTGATTTGAGATGATTAACAATGATGAAGGGAATTAGCTGTGAGCAAAGAAGAAAGATGGAGAAATTCACATACCTACATACACATCATATAAGTAATTTGATGATATCTGATCAACTACAGATATGTAATCTGTATCAACTACAGATACGTACAACACTTTCCTTTGTGTCTCTGAGATAACTCAGCATCAACCTGATTGGATTGTTCACTTATCTTGAGAGGTGATGGTCTACAATGGGCTATTTATATACTCATCAGGCTACCTTAGGAATGGCTACTAGATATGAGAGATATATCAATTGAAATTTGAAAAAAAAATCAATTGGATTTGATATCATTGATGTGAAAATGACATCTAGCATTGAGGAAGTGTGTATGCAATCAATGACATGACTGATTCTTCAATTTGACAAGTATCTGGTTGTCTTCATCACATTTGCTCCTGTCACAGCTGGTTGCATCTCCAGCCAAGATGTTGTCTTTTGCCAATGAAGCATGGTCCCCCGAGGGATATAAATAAGCAAGCAGTCTTTTCAAGTATTCCAGTCACTCAAGAAGTATTTTGGAATAAACCCTTTAAGGATAATTATATCAGTCCATACACTTCAAGCCTCTTCAGTCAGATTCTACAAGCAACTGAGGATCTCTATCATGATGATGAAGGAAAACACAGATCCATTGGGAGTGCTATGTTTCAATGAAGTGATCTTGGGTACTGTAAAGGTTATAGTTCAATGCTATGGGCCTCTGATGAGACTCATCAAACAATTCCATCAATGAGGCAACCAGATAAATCAATGACAACTGGATTCGGTTCTCCATGTCAAATCAATGCAGCACTTGCTGGTGGTTAAAAATGTCATCATTCAGAAAGTGGGAAAGACTAGATCAGAATACAAGGCTTTTGTGGACAGGGTAGTCAAGTCATACAAACAGGAAGTACGTAACAAGTTAAAACTGGTCATGTGAAAATTCTGAATCTTGAGGTTCAATCTTCACAACTTTCTTCTTACTCTTTTTACTCTTCTTCATCTTGATTTCTACTTCACTTTCATCCTCCGAACTTGAGCTATCTTCACTACTACTACTACTACTACTGTCACTATAATACTTTCTGCCTTTTCCTTTTCCTTTAGTTTTACTCTTGATCTTCTTTTCCTTCTTTTCTTCCTGCTTAGCCTCTTTTAACTTTGCATCTTTTAACATCTTCAATACCCTTTCCATATTCTCTGCTTCAAGCCTAGCTTCCTTCAAATAATCCTCCGCTTCTTGAATTGTAATTCCCCCCTCTTTAACCATTCCTTCTCCCTTGTCCATTGACACTTTCTCTTCTACAATTAATTTTACACCCTTTGCCATACCATCATCATCTGTATCTTCCCCACTTTCCTCCTTATCCCTATATAACATCTTCTCTCCCCCTTTTGATCCTTCTTGACCTCCACTACTACCACTATTACTTCCAGTAGATTCCAAAGGCTTTGAGACTATCCCTTGACTAGATTTAATTTGAGATGACATAATGAGAATTGAGAAGTTTATGAATTGCAAAGATGTAGTGACGAGATATAATTATTGAATTGAATTTGATGATTTGATGAATGAGAAAAAGTTGACCGGTTGAGATGTCAAGAAACAATGTTGACGGATGAGCACCTGCAAAGCCGGAAAAGGTTGTTTCGAATCGCCCCAGTGGAGTCACCAGATGTAGAACTCCTACGCAGTGTAGCGTAGGCTGAGCCGGAGAGGGGATGAAGTACCGCCAGAGAGAATGGAAGTACAACAGGTGCAGTTAAGCTGCCCTCAACCTTTAGAAATCTCTAAGTTCAAAGCAGAGGAGTGCAATTCTAAAACAAATTTTCCTGCTACATACAACCAACACTTGTAATAATGTTATTTTATTCTTTCTACTGATAAATCAGTACCAAACCTAGGTCCGAAATAGCTCTGACTTGTCCAAAGACAGTACTGAGTGGTCACCAGAGGCTTCTAGACACTTAAAGTGAATAGACTAGGGTTGAAGAAAGTATAAAACAACACTACACAAATAATTACTTGTGCTTCACAGTCCAATGACTTTCAAAAAGTTCCAACACTAAGATCATGAAAGAAGCCTAAAAAAATTAAAAGACTGATGATGGTGATGAGGATAGAAGTTGATTAAACTTCTACAGATAGAGCTGAGATGATTGAAGTTTATTTGCCAAAAAAAACCACTAAAAAAAATAAGAACTACACTAAAACTTGAGACACAACACAGATACTACTATTTGATTACTATCTTTCCTAGATAGTTAACTCAGACTTTTTCTTTGTTCAGACTTCAAAACTAAGAACTAACACTTGTAAAAGCCTAATACTTTTAAAGGACACTTTGAATTAAACACTTTAACACTTTAAATAAAACACTAACAAAAAACTACTCAATAAGCACCCACACACACACACTTGGACAAATTGAACAATTGGACAATTCAAACTCCCCAAATTTCGCCTCCAGACCCCCTCCTTATATACCTTTCATCTCCCTATTCGCACCATCACACTGTCTAGCAAATTTAGTCTCCTATCCCCCCAATTTACATAAGATTGACGCTTTCACACACTACTTTCCTCTCCCGCAACCCCTATTACATATTTCAATTTGTATGTAAGTTCCTTTCTCATGTCACTTCCTATTCTTTCTTTACTCATCTGTTTGTTCTCTTTCATTTCAATTTGTCACTTTCATTTGATTCCTTTCAACTTTTCTGTTTAATTTAATAATTTGAATTCATTGATTTGATACGCAATTTGATCTATTACTAATTAATTTAGTATGTAATTGATTTTGTTTATTAATTTAAATTAATTCCAAATAGATTGCATCATTGTTCTTCTAATGATCTAGCTGGTCGAGTTGATGTAATATACTTGTTTAATTAAGTTGATTTTAGTAACTTCTCGGCACTTTCTCTCACTCTAATCAACCAATCTTCCTTTTCCTTTGATTCAATTTTAAGCTTCTTTTGATGGATCTTTCAATTATGATTTGTAAGTAATTTCGCATCTGTGTTTCTTTCTAGTTCCTCTTTCACTAGCTAAGTTACTTCAATTTGATTTTGATTTAATTTAATTAATTGTTGCTATGTATTTTCTTCTATTTTATTTAATGTTGTCTTTTCTCTTTTGATTATAATATTTTAAGACGTTTTCTGATTGTGTATCTTGAAATAAAATAAAATAAACTGAAGGAATTGTTTGAAATTGAATTGTAATAACCTGATTGTAAATTGATTTGTGTATATTAAAATTGATCCAAAATGAAAAAATGAAAAAACCCGAGTTTATAAAAAAATGATCTTGAAGATAAAATGTAGAATTAAACTATGATGTTAAAGATGATCTTCAATATAAAAGAAAACTTTGAGTTTCAAAAAGAAAATGAGGTCTTTAGAGAATATGAAAAGTAGACATGTTTTGATTTCCACAGCGTGTGTCAACATCAACTACCTGCGCGTTGATCACCTGTTCTACCACCACTAGCGTCTGACTTGTGTGCTACACAGAATGCTATTAATGATGAGATGTACAAATCAGTTGACTTCTAATGAATCAACTGATGATTCTGATGATTCTGAGAAATCAAATAAATCAAATTGTGAATTGAATGGATCAGATGAAGAGACAGACAAGTTTGACAATTTCATCAACATTGACAAGATTGGTGAGTCTTTGTTGAACTCTCTGTGTGGAAGTGATGAAAGTGAAGTTTATGATGATATAGGTAGTTTCACTGAATATGAGTGTTGCAGTAATTTGGATACCCGATTTAGAAACAATACTTACCGCTGATCAGAAGATTGACTGGTATAAATTCAAACAGAAAGAAGTAGGTCTCATCTGTGACTTCATTTGGTTGAAATTATTGGAATACTGACAGTTTCATTTGTTGTTCAGCAACTCTTCAAGCTGGACCAGAGGTTTGGAAGTCGCTTGAAAACAAGGAAACCATCCAGGAGGGTTTAGGCTTTGTTCCTGATTGGAACAAGAAACCTGAAATCAAGTTCATGTGTAAGTGTATCATTTATCTTCTCACTCAAACATTCACGCTCCTATTTTGGGTTGTGTGACCATTTTCAAATCAGATTCCAAGAATGCTTCTGATTGTTCA